GCATTGAGACCGATGTAACGCATCGCGTTTTGTCGCTGCCTTTGCTCTTCCAGCCCACCCCCGCCCCCAAAGGGACCCAGTATCAGACCATCCCATTGCTTGAAGTCGCGATTCACCACCGAGATCTTCGACCGTTGACGAGACACGAACTTAACGAAGTATATCCTTTATCTACTCCTCCGATCTGGACCGGTCTGCGTGGATTTCATCGTCGCATCATACTTCTTTGTTGGAGATTCAGGAGGTACGGTACAACAGACATTGTGTGGGAAGAGATCGATTGAACCAAGCATCGCATCGTCCCGATCCGTTCGAGGCGCCAACACTTATCAAATAACTGGAGCTGATTGAGTGGGAACTACAATTGCTCTTTCAATGCGGCCGCAGTACGTTCTTCCCGCATCGGGTCCCATGCCCTGAACTTCTTGCGCGCGCCGGATGCTAATGGCTTCGCTCGATACAGACGGGAATATCATATTGTCGTGCTCGGCGCTGGTAGGCATCATCTGACGTCCGAAGATCGTTGAGGTCCACCGCTGATATCTGCTATCTCATGCGCAACAGGTGGAGTGGGAAAAAGTTGTCTGACTGGTATCTACCCTCTGCCTCCTCCATTGGCCTGACTCATGGGTCATCCCGCATGAGGGACAATTGTCACTTACTCTGTGCAGCCCAATTCGTCCAAAATGTGTGGATTGAGAGCTATGACCCGACGATCGAAGATTCATATCGCAAACAGATCGAGGTAGACGTAAGTGGATCGTGTTACCAACCAGGTCTTAAGGTACTGATTGCCACAGGGGCGACAATGCATTCTAGAAATTCTTGACACTGCCGGAACAGAACAATTCAGTAAGTTTCCCTGCAACGGTACGACTCTGTCCTTTCCACTAACACAGCCCTAGCTGCCATGAGGTAAATCAGCATCCCGTCCCACTTCTTCAGTCCACTGGGATCCACTACTGCGGCTATAGGACTGACACATAACCACTCATCCCTTCTCAGACCCGCATGCTAACCCTGATTCACAGAGAGCTTTACATGAAACAGGGCCAAGGGTTTCTCCTGGTATTTTCCATTACGAGTATGTCCTCGTTGAACGAGCTGTCCGAACTACGAGAACAGATCATCCGCATCAAAGATGACGAGAAAGTCCCCATCGTCATCGTAGGCAATAAATCCGACCTGGAGGAAGACCGCGCGGTGCCCCGTGCTCGCGCCTTCGCCCTCTCCCAGAGCTGGGGCAACGCCCCCTACTATGAGACATCGGCTCGCCGACGAGCCAACGTCAACGAGGTCTTCATTGACCTCTGCCGACAGATCATCCGGAAGGACCTGCAAGGCAACTCCAAGGGTCGCGACGAACCGCCTAAGCGGGAAAATACAAACCGGCCCGATCGCAAGCGAGAACGACGCCAGAAGACGAAACGTAAAGGACCTTGTGTGATTCTATAAATTAACGAATGTTATAAATGAAGGAGGTGCAGAAGACCAACGACTCGCTCATCGTATTTGAACCAGCCCACCTCACATCTTATCGACGCATCTCTCGAGCCACCGGCTCACATCCTATCTGCACATATATACTACTTATCTTCACCCGCCCTAATGTTTTCAATCATCATATGCCCGTCCAATGATAGATATATGTCGGTTCACAACCATTCAAATTTTTTTGTCTGACTTCCTGTTGATACGTCTTCGCCTGTTATTCTACTTTTAAGGAATGAAAAAAAAGTTGCACGTTTCTTCGTTCCACCTCGACACTCAAGGTTGGCATTCGCCATTCCCCTTATCGGTATAGAACAGTTCGTCTTATAACTACGTCGCCGTTCGATTGTTGCAAACTGATAAACGCAACCCTACTAAGGAAAAGAACCACTGTCTTCTTTCTTTTTCTTTTCTTCCTAGCCCCCTCCTGAATTCTCTCTATCTACTGGATTTCCCTCCCCCCCCCTTCTATTTGCTTTTTCTTTGTGCCTTATTTGACCCGTTATTCCTTCCGATTCTCCCCCTTTTTTCCCCTTCCCCCTTTTCTACCCCCCTGATCAATTTCCCGTTCTTCTCGAAACTAGTCTGTTTAACGCAGGGTAGATTATTAGAATGCAATATTCCTTTTCTTCCTTTTCATTCGCTCATCCTTTCTCCTGTAAATTATAGGGACTATCGTAATAAGCAACTTAGGATATCTTCGCGACTGACCTCCTATCTTCCACCCCAATATCACACATACAGACCCTCTAAGATAGCAAAAAAAAAAAAAAAAGCTCTAGAGAAGAAAAAAAAAGTCCATTTCTAATACAGCAGCCGACCATACGTCATATAAACCCCGATATGAAGGGGAAGACAAAGATATAAATGTAATAAGAAAAAAAAAAACGCACCCCCAGATCCAGTTACATACTAGCCCTAGACCTAGACCTAGAATAGATCGAGAGTATATGGTAAGTGCACTACATCCGGAAAACACCAAATCGCGTCTGCACGTCCTTATCAACCCTTCCACCCAACGACGCCGCCAAACTCAATCCAAGTACACGTCTCGTTTGCGCAGGCGGAATGACTCCGTCGTCCCAGAGTCGGGCGGATGAGAAAATCGCCTCGGACTCGTGGTCGATGCGAGCTTTGAGGGCTGGGTCTGCGGTGCGTCCAACTGCTTCCATCACTGAGGAGAGTTGCTCAGAGCCCATGACCCCGATTTTGGCGTTGGGCCACATGAACATCAGGCGCGGAGAGTAGGCACGGCCGCTGTTTTATTTTTCGAGTCATGCGTTAGTTCTGTTTGGTTTCTTTTGTTTCTTGGGTTGTCTGGGGGGGTTTTTGGATGGTTGGGTGTGTGTCTGGTGTGTAACTTACCACATGCCGTAGTTGCCTGCGCCGGCGCTGGAGCCAAAGACGACGGTGAACTTCGGTACATCGGCGCAGGCTACTGCCGTGACTAGCTTCGCGCCGTTTTTGGCGATGCCGCCCTTCTCGGCGTCGGCGCGACCATGAAGCCGGAGATGTTCTGGAGGAAGATGAGGGGGATGTTGCGCTGGGCGCAGAGCTCGATGAAGTGGGCTCCCTTCAGCGAGGATTCGGAGAAGAGGATGCCATTGTTAGCGACGATGCCAACTTGGTGGCCGTAGATGCGGGCGAAGCCCGTGACAAGGGTGGTGCCGTAGTCGCGTTTGAATTCGGCGAATTCGCTGCCGTCGACGATGCGGGCGATGACTTCGTGGACGGGGATCTGGCGGCGGAGGTTGGTGCCGACGATGCCGTTTAGGTCGTTGGGGTCGTAGAGAGGTTCTTTGATGGTGCTATCGTCGAGCTGGAGGGGCACGCTGGTTTTGGGGTAGTTGAGGTTGGAGATGGATCTGCGGGCAAGAATGAGGGCGTGGGCGTCGTCCACAGCGAGGTAGTCTGTTACGCCAGAGATGGTGCTGTGCAGTTGGCCGCCGCCTAGGTCTTCGGCGGAGACTTCTTCACCTGTGGCGGCTTTGACGAGGGGAGGACCTGCCAGGAAAATGGTGCCTTGGTTCTCGACGATGATAGTCTCGTCGCTCATGGCTGGGACGTAGGCACCTCCTGCTGTGCAGGGGCCCATCACCACGGAGATCTGCGGGATACCCATTGAGCTCATCCGGGCTTGGTTGAAAAAGATGCGGCCGAAGTGCTCCTTGTCTGGGAACACGTCGGCTTGATGGGGAAGGTTGGCACCGCCGGAGTCCACGAGGTAGAGGCAGGGGAGTTTGTTCTCTTGAGCGATTGCTTGTGCTCGGAGATGCTTCTTCACCGTGATGGGGTAGTACGTGCCTCCCTTGACAGTGCTGTCATTGGCCACGATCATACATGTTACACCTTCGACGGTTCCGATTCCAGTAATAATGCCACCGGCGGGAACGTCTTCGCCTGGGTACACCTCGTGGCCGGCCAGCGGGGAAAGCTCCAGGAACGATGTGCCCGGATCGATCAGGGCTGTCACCCGATCTCGAGGGAGCATTTTGCCTCTGGCAATGTGCTTATCTTTTGCTTTTTGTGGCCCGCCCTGTGAGATGGTGCCATGTAGATTGCTCATCCGATCCACGAGCTCCTTCATCTGCTCGGCATTCTCCTTGAAATCCGGCGAGGACGTGTCCACCGCGGTGGGCAGAACCGATATGGCCGAGGCATGATGCGGATGCGTATAGCTTGCAACTGTCCTGAGAGATGTTTTAGAGGAGACTGCAATTGGAAAACGAGGGGTGAGCAGCCGTCGCGAGTAAGGCAGCGATAGCGATGTTTTGGAGCTCAAGCTCCGCAGGAGCGGAGACGGTGCGCGCATTGCGGGGAGAATCTAGGGAGAGCAGAAGATGAAGTAGCACCGCGAAACACCAGACTGAGCTATCTCATGGTCCTGTCCGGAGCTTTATGAGAGCAGCCAAGTGGGAGCAATGGCCGATGAGGGAAAAATAGACGAGGATGGACAATGGGCGTGGGGAGGAATTATGATCGAATGTGACCCCGGATTGAAGTTGCGGAGAAACAAACTGCGACGATTGCCGCGTCTAGCCGCGGCTGGCATCGGCCTCCGCATTTGCGGACATGCAACTCTGCTACTTACTTCATTCTTCTCGGCTTTTTGCTTGTCTCATTTCCCTTCCACTTCCCCTTCCCTTCAGATCTTTTGTTTCTTTCTTGGTGTGAATTTACCGTGCAGAGATACCTTTTCCACAATGGCTGCTGCATCCCGTCTCCCATTCCTCTTCCGCAGTACCTCCCGGTCCCTGGGGTCAATCAGGAAACCCCTCATACAGATCCCCGCATCTCGGACGTTCGCATCAAAACACCCCAAGGGCTTCGTGGCGCCCACTGAAGATGAGCTACTAGAGCTACGGGAACGTGTGCAGGAATTTACCAGTCAGTTGCTCTCCTAGTGATGTTCTGCGTTCCGCACTCTGACCATAAGCGCAATCAAGGGCGTGAGATTACCGAGGAAGTAGCTGCAAAGACAGACGCACAGAATGAATTCCCGGCAGAGATGTGGAAGAAACTTGGTGATGCTGGGTAATTATCACACCAAGCTGCTGGGTCATTGTCCATTGTAGGCGATTCTAATTCAGTTGTCAGATTCCTGGGCATCACTGCAAATGAGGATTATGGCGGCCTCGGAATGGGCTACCAGGCGCACTGTATAGTTATGGAAGAGCTTAGTCGTGCATCAGGTATTGCATTCTTCCTGTTACCACATTACTAAATGTGAACTCTGTTCGTGTTCTGATTGGGGCGCGCTATAGGAAGTATTGCATTGTCATACGCTGCGCATTCCCAGCTTTGCGTCAACCAGCTCTCTTTGAATGGGTCGCCGGAACAGAAGGAGCGGTTCTTGCCGGGACTCCTATCTGGTGACAAGATTGGTGCTCTGGCGATGTCGGAACATTCTGCCGGCTCGGATGTTGTCAGTATGAAGACGACGGCTAAGGAGGTTGATGGTGGCTACGTACTGAACGGTACCAAGATGTGGATTACGAATGTGAGTTGCTCGACATGTTTACAGAGGAGCCTGTAAACAAGGCCAAACGTTAATCACCTCTCAGGGCCCCGACGCAGATTTCATTGTAGTCTACGCCAAAACGGAGCCCGAGAAGGGCTCCAAGGGAATCACGGCATTCGTTGTCGAAAAGACATTTGACGGATTCTCCTGCGCACGGAAGCTCGATAAGCTTGGAATGCGCGGCTCAAACACTGGAGAGCTTATCTTCGAAGATGTGTTTGTCCCCAAGGAGAACGTCCTCGGCGAAGTAAACCGCGGTGTCAAGGTTCTCATGGAAGGTCTCGATCTGGAACGTCTGGTTCTCAGCGCTGGTCCCCTGGGGTAGGTTCTACTATTAAGACACTATATATTTACAGTCAAGAACACCAGAACTGACAATAATGAACGATATCTAGTATCATGCAAGCCGCCCTTGATCTCGTTCTTCCCTATACTCATGTCCGCAAGCAATTCGGATCACCCATCGCCCATAACCAGTTGATCCAAGGTAAGCTGGCAGATATGTACACAAAGCTTCAGGCATCGCGCGCCTACACGTATGCCACGGCGCGGCACGTTGATAACTCCGCATCTTTGTCTGAGGTGAGCATCCGGACCCAGGACTGTGCGGGTGCTATCCTGTATGCGGCGGAACGGGCGACGGAGTGTGCACTTGATGCCATCCAGCTGATGGGTGGCAATGGGTATATCAATGAGATCCCCGCAGGACGGTTGCTTCGCGATGCGAAGCTGTATGAGATCGGCGCGGGGACCAGCGAAATCAGACGGATGGTCATTGGACGGGCATTCAATAAAGAGTATGCATAGTTATATACGTTCCTGTTTTGCATTCGTTCTATCATGTCATATATAGCTGGCATTTGTTATATTTAGCCGCCAATGGGCAGAGTGTTGAATTAGATACACAAAAATGATTTCATATCTTCATGGCCACTTCAGTCTATTGCTTAGCCTTGTTTCTGGTAGACCTCCGTACAGGACCCGATGCCGCTGGAGTGTCCGCGGTTTCACCCACTTTCTTCGATGCGATTCTCTTCGATCTGGTGGTGGTTTGGCTTTTGTCTGCGTCAGGCTGATCGAATGCATCGGACACCTTACGTTTCCTTGTCCGGGTAGATGGTGCGGTTACAGAATTAGGCTTCTTTGGGCTAGACTCCTGCTCTTGCATTGTCGCAGATTGCAGATCAGATGACTCCGACTCCATTCCCATTGGATCACCATATGACTCAGGCGCTTCGATAGGGAACTCATGCTCAAGCATTTTAGAATTAACTGGCAGATCAGAAGCTGACTTGATCACCCTATGCGAATGCACCGTCGATGGCGGAGAGAGCGATGACTCAGCCGGAGTGGTAGTTTTCGAGAAACCATCAGACCCAACATCAGTCTCGCGAAGGCTCTCCAACGACGACGCTGTGGACGTATCATCAGAACTGGTATCCGCCCTCTTAGAGACCACTGGCGCCCGAGGCGGGGCCATCTCGGAGCCGACTTTCCGCATTCGCACCCGCCCAATCGCAGGATGGGACGACCGGAACACCTCGCGCCAATTCTTCAGGAGGGCCACTTTTTCGCCGTCGCCAGGTTCGTACAGTTTACGGGGTGGACTGTCGTCGTGAAGTGTCTTCCATACCGTGCCCTGGAACGATGCCACGTCTGTCTTGGGGAGGATCTTTTTGGGGATGGGTCCGTTGTGGACGGAAGGATTCTTTTTCGCGGTGAGAATGTCGTTTATTTCTTTGATGTTGTATTTGTTTGGCCAGAGGCCCATTGCTCGCTGGCGTCGTACGGCGGTTGGGTCTTCGTCGTAGTAATCGTCGGATTGGTCGTCCCAGTCGCTAAAGTATTCTTCTACCTCGAGTGAGGGATCCTCGAAGAAGAGAGCATCATAGACTGCGGTTGCGGCGAGGTCATCCTACATGGGCAATGGGTTAGCTCTTTGTCTGTGACTGTATGGTATCCTTGGTGTGGTGTTGAGACTGACAGCGATCTCGGGGTCCGGTTCCTCAATCCAAAAGATGTCTTCGTCGTATTCATCGTAGTAGTCTTCGTCATCAGACATCTTGGGTATAGTAAAGTGAAAGACTGTCAAATATAGGGTTCAAACGTGTATACAAGAGTGAGAACAGAAATGGTGGAAAATTGCCAAGTCTAATGGGTATTACTAGAAAGGAAAGCAGAGACACAAAAGACGAGCCGAGCCACAGTAAAACAAAGAGATGAGTCAGCTTGTCGAGACCGAGTAGGACAAATTCCAGAGCGAGCGTAAGGCCGAATCAGATGGATACGGTGTAAGCCACCAGACAATGGACCGGTGACGTCGGGGGAGTTCGCTGATCGCGTCTTTCCGGCGATGAAAAAACGAGATTAACTGCGCTGCAGAAGAAGTGGATCTCAGATAGCATCACGTGCCCGGTGTTTCCCCGCAGCTTCGCTTTGCGTCGGCTCAAGGGGTCGTCTGGGGGAACAGTAGTACTACTTCCATGCAACTTAAGCTGCCGGCCTTCTTATTTTTCCCTGAGAGCTCTTCCTGTTTGTTCTTTCAAAGCTTTGTCTTCTTACGCAGAATATGCTGCTGCCCTCCTATATACTCTGTGGTGTTGAATCAATACTGTGATCTTAATCAGCATCGTTTCTTTACAATGCCACTCTCGTCCCTTCTCCGCACTGCTTCCCGTCTGAGGCCGACGGCCGCCCAGAAAGCAAGAAGAGCTGCATCTACAGTGTCTTCGACTACCCCCAAATCACAGAATTCATTGGATTCGATTCTCATCGCAAATCGAGGAGAAATTGCTTTGTATGTCGGGGAATTGTGCTGCGCGCTGTTTTCATACTAACTATACCCTCACCTTAGACGAGTCGGACGTACCGCGGCTCAACATGGTATCCGCGTAACTACGTTATACACAGATCCCGATAGCCGGGCTCAGCATGCACTGAGCTCCCCATTCGCGTTCAATCTAGGATCTGTATCAGCTTATCTCGATGGAGACCGTATCATTGAGATTGCGAAGCGGGAGGGCTGTCAAGGGATACACCCAGGCTATGGTTTTGTATGCATTTCTGAAGAGATGATGTTTATCAATCTGCTAACCTGTCTTTAGTTGAGTGAGAATTCGGAATTTGCGCGAAAATGCACAGAAGCCGGGCTGGTCTTCATTGGACCCCCATGGAAGGCTATCGAGGACATGGGGGATAAGAGGTAAGCTAGTTACTCGACTCAATTTTCCTGTAAGCCTTACTGACGGCCTTTAAAGCCAGTCTAAGAAAATCATGACGGCGGCGGGTGTTCCTTGCGTTCCTGGTTATCACGGTCAGAATCAAGATCCCAGCTTCCTTGAAGCCGAAGCGGATAAGATTAAATATCCTGTGCTTATCAAGGCAATCAAAGGAGGTGGTGGAAAGGGAATGCGTATAGCTCATAGCAAGTCTGAGTTCCAGGCTCAACTGCAATCTGCAAAGTCAGAAGCTATGAACTCATTTGGAGACGACCATGTGTTAGTGGAGAAGTACATCACCACACCACGGCACATTGAGGTCCAAGTGTTCGCAGACAAGCATGGGAATAGCGTGGCTTTGGGAGAAAGAGATTGCAGTATACAAAGACGGCATCAGAAGATTCTCGAGGAGTCACCCGCCCCTCACTTGCCTGATGCTACGAGGAAAGATATCTGGGCAAAGGCACGGGCGGCTGCTGAGGCTGTAGGCTATGAAGGTGCCGGTACCGTTGAATTTATCTTTGACAACGATACTGGGGAGTTCTTTTTCATGGAGATGAACACCAGACTTCAGGTTGAACATCCGGTGACCGAGATGGTCACTGGTCAGGACCTGGTCTACTGGCAACTCAAGGTGGCCGAAGGCGCTAAGCTCCCATTGACCCAGGAGGAAGTAGAAGCTTATATGGCGAGCCGTGGGCATGCCATCGAGGCGAGAATCTATGCAGAGAATCCCGATCAGGGGTTCATACCTGATTCCGGTACACTGCTGCACGTTCGCACTCCCACCCCCTCCGAAGACATCAGAATAGACGCAGGCTTCGTCGCCGGCGATGAAGTTTCAGCTCATTACGATCCAATGATTGCCAAATTGATCGTGAGAGGCAGTACGCGACAAGAGGCCCTCCGCAAGCTTGCGTCTGCGTTAGAAGAGTACGAAGTTGCGGGGCCAATTACCAACATCGAATTCCTGAAGACGGTCTGCAAGAGCCCTGATTTTGTCGCCGGAGAGGTGGAAACTGGATACATTGAAAAGCATCGTGAAGAACTGTTCACTCGCGAGGCCATCGAACCGGAGGTGCTCGCACAAGCCGCATTGGCTTGTCTGAACCACGACTCTGCCCCGGTCGCTCGGAAGCAGGCAAATTTCGAAGGTTCCGCTGTCGGATTCAGCCCCAGCTATCAATCACGGCAGATAACATTTGCGGAGCTGACGCCTGGAGCCAAGGATGGCACCAAGTTTGATATCCGTGTTCAACAAACAGATGACAATACATTCAATGTAGAAGTAGGCGGGCACACCTTTGAGCAGGTGGTCAGTCACAACAACCCTGGGTCGCATGTTGTTACCTCTTTCTTCCCTCACACACGATTGGACACCACCGTGATCCGTGATGAAGACTCCGTCATTGTGTTTCAGAGAGGAACGCAGTATCGCCTGGCGATACCACGGGCCAAGTGGATGGACAAGGCACTAGGAATGAAGGACGTAACCAACAGCGTTCTAGCCCCAATGCCGTGCAAAGTGTTGCGCGTGGAAGTTCAGGCGGGCGACGTGGTGGAAAAAGACCAGCCACTGGTGGTTATTGAGAGTATGAAAATGGAAACGGTCATCCGCAGCCCGCAAAAGGGAACCATTTCCAAAGTGGTACATAAACAAGGAGTAAGTCACGCGAACCGTTCCCCTGCACGAACATTAACCTTGCCCGGCTATTTCTCAATGTTTGGAGCTATTGGTGTGACTATTGGTATCGAGACGATGGATTCGGCCCGGTGTGGGCACACCTTCCCGTTTCTCCCTCTCCTTTTTATCATCTTATTGATTTTTGGCCGACTCGGCGACCGGGGTCTGGGGTTTGGCTGAAACGACCGGGCACTTCCGTGGGTTTCATGCACGGACCGGCTGTCCAGCTTCCATGACCTTTCCGCCCGGCTTCGAAAATCTCCACCCACCCCAATCAATGCGAACGAACTGACTAACGTGTACCTTGCAGGACCAATGTAAAAGCGGCACGCCTCTGGTCGAATTTGCTGAAGAGGGCGATGAGAACTAGGGACAGGTCGGCAAACCTCCCGGCAGGTGTACGGTCGTGTATAAACAGAAAGGTAAAAAGAAGGTATGGCCAGGGTGACATTGCACTCAAGAGGAGAAGAAAGTTAAGGCCGTCGGTATTCTGGGGTTTGGTACGCAGACCGGCCGCCCTTCCCCGATGGATACTGGTGGATATCAAGGAAATGTTAAAACATATCCCTATGGAGACAGCTCCAATTTCTCCCTCCCGCGGTAGGAACAGAGTTTTTCGGTGAACGATGTTATGGCAATGGTGCAGTACAATTAGAATTAAGGCGCAGTCATGTGGACAACGGCACATGACTTCCTTCGTTAGTCTAAATCAATCAATAGATCTACTTAGTATTCTGTGTGTCGTACAGCCGGTAAGGGTAGATGCGTATGTACCAGAGGAACACCGTCAGAATGGAACAATGAGGAGACCAGGCAAAGGGCAAGAACAAAAAAAAAAAAAAAAAAAAGAAATAAGTGTCAGATCCGCAATCTCACGGTGGGGCAAAGCAACAACGACAACAATCTGTGGGTACTAACATTTTGACAGAGTTGAACCTAAGGAACTTAGCTCCGGCTTCCATCCATAGAAGTGCAGAACCGGAACCCCACCAAGAATATCGAGTAACTCACTGCCCTAGGTCTCCAAGCCCACCCAATTACTTTGACCTAGTTCGGTTGCATATATATATATATTTCCGATCGGATGGAACAATACACTCAGCCCATACACCTTGATCTTAGGAGAAAGGAACAAAAGAGCTTTATCTAGAAGAGTATCCTGAGTCCCGCGAAGGACTGTGCTGTGACAGAATAAACCGTGCACCCGGCATCTAAAATCTAAGGGCCGCATACCATCTGCAAAGTATATACAGTCGCAAAATAATAATAATAACGATACGCGAATTGTCGTGAGATTGAAGATGAACAAGAAAGTATGAGGGAAGGTGGTGAAACGAGCCTCGGGGAGGAAACGTTCTAGAACGGAGTCGATGAGCCTCCCGAGGAATATGCAGCGCAAGTAGTAATTCTATGCCACCTTGTCAGGTTTCCACGCATACTCTATGAGGCCCGGGTCACATACCATCTGCTAAAGCACCATGCCACACGCACACCTCGGGTACTCACTTGCCTGGTTCGTTTCTCGACTCTTTGCCCTCCCTATTCAATCATTCTCGGTCCTTATAAACATATTCCTTATCTGTAGCGGCATAAGCTTTTCCTTTGCATATGTATTCGACATAGGCAACTTAGTCACGGGTGTCCTGGAGGATACGCTGAATAAGCCCTCGCGCCTAATCCCTGCGGGTCTCGTAATCTATCGACAAAGTCAACGGCGATGGATATTCACATGGTTCTGCTTCCCTACATGTGCTTGTTGGCTATGGGCTGGCAGCGGACTGAACTCCTTACATGCGGCTTTCCAACAATATCAGGGCAAGATCCCTGCCTGAAGACCCTAAGTAAGCAAGGACAGGTCCCTGGCAAGTCATTTCACGGAGTCCCGTTGCCAATGCCGATTTTACTCACATATAGTTGTGATTATTATTAATGTAGTGCTTGGTGGCTTCTTAGTTTTATAGCATACCTTCTCTTCATTAGCTTTTGTAGCGACGAGATTTGGTCTCTATCAGTGGAAGGTCCAAATAAGGAACTTAGAGCAATCATCATGTCTATGGAGAAAGTTGAGGTCAAAACTCTAGACGGCATCACCCTTCGTGGAAATCTCTCCCTTGCGAAGACAAGGGGACCTGCCATCATCCTAGGACTTGGTGCACGTTTTCCCGATCTTGATATAGAAATGTAACTAGCTAACTATGTTTGGCGTCTATTACTAATACAAGCCCTAGCTCAACTGTGTCAAAGAAATGCTTCACTCCTCTAATTGCAATCCAATTCAAGCAAAACGGCATAACCGCTCTGGTCTACGACCTACGTTCACTTGGTGAGAGTGACGGGCTGCCCCGAAATGAGTTTGACCCAGCCAAGCTTGCGGAGGACTACTCCGACGCTTTGACATTCATCTCCACGTGTAGCGTGGTTAATCCAAGCCAAATCGGGTTCTGGGGCATGTCTTTCAACGGAGCCATCGCTCTCGCCGCCGCCGTTCTGGACTCGCGAGCGAGGTTTGTCATCGCCTGTTGCCCGTGGGCGAGCTATTTCGCCAAAGATCGCATTTCCCAGCTCTATACAGCTGCTGTTAAAGACCGTGTGTCCCGACTCCGTGGAAATGAACCGTCACGTGTGCCCGTCTGGACGGAGAAAAGGAGCCCTGTTTTTGGCGTGCCCGATTCAGAAGGCCGAAAAGCCTATCAACTGGTCTTAGCCGCGATGCGCTCTGCCCCGCGCTATGACAACCATGTTACGCCTGAAACGCTGACCTCGCTCACGAGGTGGCCCTTGCAACCCCGTATCTTGACCATGAATTCACAGCGCCGGTCATGGTACTGGTGCCTGAGCTCGACGAGGTGTCGCCTCCAGAGCAGCAGCTGAAGCTCTTCGACCAGATTAAGGGTCCCAAGGCCTCTCTACACCTGGCGAAAGGAAGGAACCATCTAGGTCTACTCAGTGGGCCCTGATATGTGGAGAAGACAGAAGCTACAGGTTGGTTTTGTTCGAGATGCGGTAGTTGGCAAGATCCCTTCGATACTGTAACTTCAATCATATAACTGAAAGGGGACTTCTAGATTCTATTGGAGTGATGCATGTCATGTCGGGGTTGGTTTTACGTGACGTGTAGCATCTTGTGGTGGTATCAATATCACATATGTCGGTATACCCCAGTAATGCAATGGCCAGTTAATAAATGATTGAGAGGTTTGAATTATTGAACTATCTGCAATTTCTAGCTGCTTAAATATCTGTAATCTGGTCATTCTGACCACGCTTCTTGTTAACTAGAGATAAGGATTCAAGGCTTGACCTTGTTGATTATAACAGGGTAGGACGATGGGAAAGAAGGCAGCATAGAAAAGGACCTAGATCGCGTGATGCAGTTGGGATAATATATAGAATACACGGTGGTGCCAAGCAGCAGGCATACACTATACCGAACAGGCATGCTGTCCTGCTAGTAATTTGCTGTTACCAGAGTAAATAGACGATAGTTAGCCCATAGTGACGCCCCACTCTCACCATATCCAGCGATTAGGACACAGGGTGTCTGGTCACAGGAAGTGTGGTTGTCAAGGTTCGAGAAAGGAACCAAGTGGGGCCAGGGAAGGGAGTGGTTCAGGAACTACGCTAACATTGCCCGGACCGGACTTTTACGTACTATGAAAAGTAGGTTAATAGGGCTGTGTTCGTGGTCGTTGGGTCGACATCTACGGTGGCAAATGTGAATCGTGGGGAGGATGAAGGGGCTATGAAGATCTGATGATAACATCCTTAAATAATTTCATAACGAGATTGGAATTGGAATGAGCAATCTTATATGGTGATGACAAAGTACGTGCAGTCTGGACGGTTGCATGCATGATGTGCAGGGTGTTGACATGGACGGTAAGTTTAATGATGGCGTTGGCGCGTGACGATAAGAGATTTCCTCTTTGACTTTATCTTTTGTATTTTAAGAACGGGCTGAGATTGACTTAGCCAATGATGGCTGCGCATGCGCGCTGGCGTCCCTGTTGATTGAGTTTGGCTGTGTTGCTGATGAACTGTCGCCCGTCGCTTGTGAGTTTGATATAGATCAGATGGAATGGAATTGAATTGAATTTCTGAGCTCCGGATTATTGCAGTGTTGCATTCTTTTATTGCATGCTCGGATACATAGCTTGCTCCACCGGTCGAGTTGGTTTGCCATTGAGGTATGAGCGTTACTGGTCGGCAGGGGAGGAGGCCATTGCGCTTCGTTCGGATGGTTGGATGACTGTTGTTCTCTGAATTGGTGATCGAGAGTAATCGAAGTTAATATGGAGTAATTAAGTAAAAATGGAGTAAAACTTGGGTGTGAGATAACAAGGGAAAGAATTGATAGGAAATAAATAAACAATAGTTTAACTAATAATAAAAAAACATGGGGGATCCATAATCTCGAGTTGACAGTAGAAAAGCCTTGGGAAGGTGAGGAGCGGGATACCGGCATTGGGATCGTCGAGAAGCCGGTGAAACTTCTGGAGGCGTGTTGGAGTCACGCGGAAGCCTGCGGGAGGCAAAAGAAGAGCGCCGCCGATCCACTCACTAAGTCGATCCTGGTCAGATCGCTGCAGGGCGGTTGAGGCCTGGCCAACACCGCCTGACATCACTTGATGTTGGCTATGGCAAAAAAAAAAAAAAAAAAAGAAAATACTGAAATGTTGAAAGGGTCATCCAGAAAGTACGTGGAATTTTCCCCAGTGCCTGGGGATGGTGGATACCTTCCCCCAGCCATTCCACTCTGAGAACCAGTCAATTTGGCCACGCCTCCAGTCATGATGGTCCAACTTGCTGGTCCCTTGGGGCGGTCGGTCACCGCAATTGCTCTGTTCCTCACATTCCCCAGCTCCTTTGTCCATTCAAGGTTTCCCTTTTTTTTTTTTTTTTTTTTTGTATTTATTATTATTTTGATTTTTCTATTTCGATTATCAATGTTTTAGAATTTTCTGATTTAATTGTACGTCCCAATCCTTCGCCGCTTGTGGACACCTATACGCATTTCTCCAATCCTTGATTGATACTTACTTCTCCGGTTTCCCCTTTACCGTAAAAGAGGCGAGCAACCCATCCGATTTTTCTCCCACCGTTGTTTTTTTTCTGGTTTTAGGGGTGACTACATATACTCCTCCTTCCCATCGACCTGGTGGACCTTCTTCATCTTTTCTTCCATCTATCTATCCCTTCGTTCATACCCTTCCTTCCCCAGAACGAACTCTAATTCCTCCTTTCCCTTGAGTACAGAGCTATATTCTTAGCTACCTCTTATACTCAAACACAATGTTCAAGTCACCAGCCGCTCGTCAAGCCGTCAAGGCTCTCCGCATTAACACACGCCCTGCTGCGGTAACAGCAGCATCACGGCCAGCGGTAGCGAACACTTTCTTCCGCGGTCTCTCGTCGACGGTTCCCCGTGCCAACGATGACAAGTCGAAGGCAGCAAAGGATCCCATCTTGGCCGCTACCAACAAAGCCCCTGAGGGTGTATTGGACACGGAGGGTCGTTTCGCTCGTGTCGATGAGAGTTTGCAGATCGAATACCCCGATGATGAGAATATGCCTCGCAGTCCTATCGTTCAGGGCCGCGGAGGAATGCACTTCAAGCGTACCCTGGCTCAATTTTCCCTCGAGAACAAGGTTACCCTGGTGACCGGAGGTGCCCGTGGTCTCGGTTTGGTCATGGCTCAGGCGATCGTTGCATCGGGCTCGGACCTTGCAATTGTCGATCTTAACAGTATGTTCTAAGCCCTGGGGAACCAAGTGGCTTTCAAGAGTTTTACTAAAAGGTTTTCACAGAGGCGGAGGCTGAGGAGCAAGCCCAGAAGTTGGTTGAGCAGTTCAGGAAGGAGAACCCCGGCTTGGAACAGTAAGTGTAACTGATTGATCACCTTAATTGGTCATTCCAACCGCTAATGGCTTGAATCTAGAATGCCAAACGTCACCGCCCACTACGCTGATGTTTCCGACCCTAACTCCGTCAACGATGCTCTTTCCGATATTATCTCCAAGCACGGCAAGATCGACAACCTGGTCACCTCCGCCGGGTTCACCGAAAACTTCGATGCCATCTCCTATCCTCACGACCGTCTGCAGAAGCTTTGGGGCGTTAACGTCGATGGAACATACCTGTTTGCGACCGGTGTTGCCAAGCACCTCATGGAGCGCAAGGTTCCGGGCAGCATTGTCATGATTGGTAGCATGTCTGGTGCCATCGTCAACGTGCCCCAGCCTCAGGCTCCTTACAACGCCGCCAAGGCCGCTGTTCGGCAACTGGCCGCGTCCTTCGCTGTCGAATGGGCCGGCCACGACATCCGTGTGAACTGCATCAGCCCTGGATACATGCTTACTGCCCTGTATGTGACGTTCCATCCTCTAGGGGTTGAAATTGTGACTAACCCGGTTTCGCTACAGGACCCGCAAGATTTTGGATGAGAACCCCGAATTGCGGGACAAGTGGATCTCCCTCATCCCCACCGGCAAGATGGGGACTCCCGAGGACCTGATGGGTCCCGTTACCTTCCTGCTCAGTGACGCCTCCAAGTACATGACCGGGGCCGATATCCGCGTTGACGGCGGCTACACCCTCACCTAGATCCCTCCGCGGACGCCGTGCTTGTTTGTTTCTGATCTTCTTTATTTAATATGGGCATGATGTACGGGGTTATTTTTTTTGGGATTCGGTATAGACCGGTTTGCTTGATTCTGGGTGGTACCTCGGGCTTTGGCTTGCTTCCCTTCTCTCTCGAAGTGGTTTGTGACGACCCCTCGGGCTGCATTACGACGATTACTTTTGTTCTGAAGAAGCGTGTTGTTTTTTGGAGAAAGTGTTTGGTTCCAAAAAGCGGGAAAGGTTGTATTTTTTTGCTATGGAGTACCCAAAATCGCGGTCGGACTTGGTTTTTGCATGATAGACTTGTTTTCTTTTTCTTTTCTTTTCTTTTTGCAGAGCGTGAGGCCATTGTGCTTATTTTTTTTTTCGTCGTGGACTCTGGAACGACTACAATGATTAGATTTAATTATTTTTCCTTGCTGAAATGTGACATCACCCCGGTAGCTGTTGGTCTCCATCATGGCGGGTTCCAGATGACGGCATGCAAGTGGATCGGCTGCATGAGAAACCACAAGTAAACCAACCGAGCACCACAAGACATCCCACATCAGATCGAGGATGACTACGATACAGTCAGCGGCGTCAGTCGGTCAGAAATTCGAATTGCTTTTTCAGCTTATCAATGATTCATGACATGACATGTCAACTCAGGGACAACATCCGCTTTAACCGCGTTATCCTTCGATCAAAAACATCTTTTCTTTTCATCAAGATAAGATTTAGTTATCCCGATAGATAGATAAATCCATTTCACTGACTAATGAAAATCAACCCAAGGTCTGATAACCAGACGCCCCCGCGCTCGAACCCTACGATTCTCCTACCTGATCTACAGAAAAAGTAAGGCAACCCAGCCGAGAGCAAATCTTCCGAGGAGAAAAAAAGCGTAATCGAACCGAAGCCAAGATATGTGGTCAGCCTTTCCGGGACTAAATGTGGGCCCCTCGCCTCATATTGCCGTTTGATCATGTTTGATAATCAGACCAGAAGAAGCCATTTACTTGTTCAGTCTGAAACAGGGCCTAACGAAAGGATCCTCTGTATGTCTCTTTGTATCCGATTCATGATTGTTGACCGGGGCTGAGTATGTCACTGCCGCCTCAGGCAACCATACAACGTATTTCCAGGTGAACTAGGGAGCTAGAGACGATACCATCAACATATAGTATTATATACAAAGTGGCAGGTTTGCGACTCTTCGCCCCGCACAGTATAACCCTTATACCCGGTACGAGGAAGAAAGGACATGATCTTGGAGCTGGGGTGCACTAGAAAGCAGGGAAGTTGTCTCCTAGACTCAATAACTCTTACATCATCTGGGGCGCAGCAAAAGGATCGGGAAACTCATCAAACACCCAGTTAAGGGAATCGAAGATTTCCGAGAATCCAGCCTCGTTGAAGAAGGCTCCTCCTTGGCCAAGATTCGGCGGATACATGATTGCAGGATTTTCTATAGATCCATTGAATTGTTCCGAGATCATGGTTGCAGATCCCGTCGGATTAGCGGTAGTAGCAGCTACTATACCCAGGTCAGTTTGAAAACACAAAGTAAGACGATATTCACAAGACGAGACGCTGGAGGAACATGCCTTGGGCATCCGACGTGCCCTTTCTGGGCCGGAAGCGGTGTCGCCAGCGCCAAACTGTGTCGTAGACGTGGCTCATACTCATCCGACAGCGTACTTTAAGCTGTAAGCTATCTTCGTCGGCGGATTGCTCACGATCGCCTGCATTCCACATCTGCGCCAGCACATCTGCAAGGCGAACGGGGCGATCGTGGTCCATGACGCTGATTCTTCTCAGGGCGGATATTGCGCCGTTGAATAACAGCTTCCCGTACTCGAAGTCGATGTGATGCCGGAAAGTACTCTTGAGGAGCTTCATTAGACCGAATGCCGCCGAGATGATCATCTGCAGGATATAGTTTGTTGCGTAGCTGATCAGTTGGTCGGGGGATGTTTCAAGGTCCAGGACTTGACTGAGGAATGAGGTGGTTGCAATGAACAGCTTCGTAATGTCACTTGGTCGTGGGTTTGAACCTAAGAATATAAAGTATCGTAAATGGAGCTCGGCGGCTCGCAGATGGATCTTATTAATATCTGTCCGAGCACGTAGTCAGCGTGACGAGAGCCAAAGACAGGAAACTCAGAGGCGAGGCATCGTACGGGAAATATTCCTGCCAAAATTAAGTTCCATGTCCCTAAGTTCGTTCTCCAAAAGCTGGACTATTAAGAGCCTCTCGGGCCCGATAAACTCTGCCGCGTCTGGCCTGCTACCGTAGAGAGACTTGGTGATTCGATCACAGAACCTTTCAATGTGGAGACGAGTTCGCAGATCTTCTGCAGGATAATAACCGGCATCCTGGAGTGACGCTGGCTCAAGCGCCCAGTCATATATCGTCTCTGGAGGTTGTCCGTATCCGGTGGCAATACTGTTGGTTTCAATGAATGGTTCAGTTCTTTCACGGCGGATGGGATTGCTTACTTTTGAGCTACAATATTACAGACGACCCATGTCTGGAGCCGATCCTTCACCGCTTCACTGTGGCCTATTTGAAATGTGGTGAACTCTTCTGCTTGAACCGGACGATGTAGCCCCAACTGCATGGAAATCTGCATCATCAGCCCGCAGAGCATGAATGTAGCATCCTTTCTCTGGCTAGTTGTAGGAAGGGGCCAGGTGCACAGAAGACAGAGGGCCTTCACAACGGCGTAATCCTGCGGCACGCTGGTGATAGTCGACCATAGAAGCCTGCTGAACGGGCCAGTGAGTGCGCCGAGGAGGCCTGGCTCTGTTGGAGCCCGTCGGCTAGCGACGCAAATTATCGTCCATGCTTGTAAGGGACAGCGGCGGAGATAGTGTTCGGGTGCTTTTTGGGGGTCTAAAAGTGGAAGAAATGGATGATAATAATTGAAAAACCTGCTAGACCATTAGAAACTGAATAACTCATCCAAAGAAGAAAAAAAAAAAAGGAAAAGAAAAGAAAGACATAGGGACCTACTGCTCAAATAGTCGTGCCACTCTTGGCTTAGATAGGGAGACATCTTCCAGTCTCCACATATGATCCTCCTGAAACAAGTCAGATAGAGTGCTATACATAGTTAAAGGGGTAGCTATGACCTGTGGCTCGAGACTGGTAGACATAATTTCCCCTTGATTTAGTGCTGCCGATGCTGGGTTCCAGATTACGCTCCCTGCAGGCTGGGGCACCTCATCACCGACGTTACCTTCCACAGCGTGGCCATGATGATGGGTATTCGTGGCAAGTCGTCGACGGAGCCCTGCAATCTCGCGCTCCATTTCAGCATTTCGCCTATCAGGATTAGCATCCAAGAGCGGACGACATGTGGATGTACGAGATACCTTCTTTTTGAGATACGCGTGAAAGAAGGTTCAACCTTGCATTCAATCTGGAGTCCTTTACAACGCGAGCAGGCGTCCGCGGGGGTTTGGACGATATCACATCGAAGCTACCGGATATCAAAGCCACCAGAGTTTAGTCAAACCGGGAGGTAATGGAAGAGCAAAATAGATGTCCCCGATATAGATCCCTACGGTGACTATTGGGCGGAGGTGGGATGTTTTGGACGGACGTTCGCTTACTTTCTGCTGTTTGCATTCGTTGCAAGCTTTCCTTGCACCGCCTCGCTGTTTCTTCGTCGGAGTGAGTGTCTTTTCCATGTCTTTGGATCCCAGTCCCGGGGGTTTGTTCCGCAGGTCAATTGGGAATGTTCTCGGATTCGCATGGGTAAGCGAGACCTAATCCCCAAAACCCCGCAAATTGCAAATTATCCCGGTGACGATCTTCCGAACCCGTGTGGTGGTGGTGAAACAGGTTATTTCTATAGGTATATCTTACCTCTCCGAATAGGCTGCCTGGACTGATTTGTATGAAATAGTTTACAGTAATTCCATTGTTATAAAGACGATGAGGCATTCTAATGACAGTGTGAAGGCCTTTTCTCTGCTCTGCCAAATCCGAATCCCTCGGTGCCTCGGTTCCGCGTGATCTCCCAATCCCCTCAGGGGATTTTATATGTTTGATAGTTCTTGTACCGGACTATATATACTTTCCTGTAATTACTAGATGTATGTATACCTAGTTACCGGTTTCTGCTCTGTATAGACCGTTCCAGATTTCATCGCAATCCGCACAGGGACTGTAGATTAATAGAGTAATATCAAAACGGGCAATACTATACAGGGTGGATAGCCTGTCACCAGGTAAGAATACGTAGACAAGGTAGAAGGAAAACGTCTATGATTGACGGGATACTAGAGCTGAATGCTGACGAACTGAATTTTGCCCCTTTTCCAATAACTGGTACCGCTTGTTTATATAGCTTGGGCACCTCTCCCACCCAGTAGGCCTCCGGGGTCAGGAATAGGACTGACTGACCAGTCAGGCGATGTCTTGCAGTCCGGTTTAAGACTTCAAGAGGCTATTAAAGACCGGGGCGTTCGGGTACTGCGCAACCAATATCATATCGAAACAGTAACAGAAAGCTTAGCGGCAGCTGCGCACACGGATGTATCGGAGTACTGCATGATATAGGTTGAATCAGACCTGAGCCAGTCGGTCCCAGTGGCTAATCGTTACTGATTCGTTTCGACAAGTAGTTTGGATGTCAACGCCTCAGCAATTCTCTGATCCAGTTCGTTCCCAGTCGATCATGCGCTACAGCAGCCTTCTCGATGAAATGATGAACCGTTTTCAGCGTGATCCCTCCCTTCTGGAATTCTCGTCCAGACCACCGCTCAACCGCCTTCTGGAGCGCCGCCCACGCCCGCTCCGTTTCCACCGACTGCCCCCGCCCACAGAGCTCCGTCAACACAAACACCACCGCATGCCACTGCGGATAGCGTTCGAAGAGCCAGGCCCACCGCGTGGTCCGCGGGTCCGTCTCCAGCAGATAGGCGAATTCCACCACTTCGATGGCGGCCAGGAAGAGCTGGTCTCGCTTCGGATCCTCCAGCGAGATCTCGATCAGCGGCATTCGAACCTTCATCGTCCCCTGCGAGAGATGCGCGATTAGCCATGATCGCGCGAGAGCGAGTCGGATGACTGTCGCCGTGACCCATTGCGCAGGGATAGAGATGTCGCAGTATTGGAGGTATCGATCTTGTAAGTGGGTACGGATTTGTTCGAGCTGGCGGAGACGCTCGTCTAGGAGGGGTGAAGTGTGGCCTTCGCTGGTGCTGGGCATGGGGTTGGAATTGAGAAACGAGCGCCGGTAGAGGACGGTCATTTCGCAGCGGATTAGGCAGAAGGTCATTTCTGTGAATTCGATGCGTTCGTCGGGCGGGATGGTTGACTCCGGGGATAGATCTGCGTCGTTGATGTTCAAGGGCAGTCTGGTGTCGTAGCAAGACTCGGTGATTAGTGTGCCGATGGCATGAAGCTCGGACGATTGACTGTCCAGCAGATAGATTGACCACCATAGTCGGCGACGCAGCTCAACCTCAAAGGGGGTGAGGTCAAAATGGGTTCCGTCGCGATGCAATCCCAGTCCCTGTGCAAGCCGATAAACCGCCGCGGTCATGGTCCAGACAAATTCAGCGTCTCCGGGGGAGCGTAGACAGGTGAGGAAGAGCACGGCTGCTTGGAGCACGGACTGGTTTCGTGTCTGGAGAAAGCCTGCTCGCGCCAGCGCCTGCTGTGTTGCGAATCGGTATCGCTGCAGGAGTGTGGAGTGATCCTGACCGAGCTCTTCGGCGCACTGTTCGGGACTCATACTGGTGACGGCGGCGAAGTAAACTGCGAAGACTACCGCCTCCGAGGCTCGGTCAATGTAGCTGGTGTTCGTAGCGGTCTTGTAGAGAAGTCTGTGTAGGGTTGGTTTATGGAAGACCATGACGACTGGTGCGACATTCTCCTCGAAAGTCTTCCATAGTATCTGACTGTCCTTTACGCTGGGATGAAAGGCCGACAGCGAAGAAGCGACGGACGAGTAGCTGAAGAGGAACTGGTTACCATTCTGCGAATATTCTTCACATTCGTCTTCATCAACACCATTGTCAGGCGAATCCACCAGGTCTTTGAGCTCTTCGATCTTTCACACAAGGGTTAGTTAGTAAGAAGGTATCCAGAGCCCGGGAAACAATGCAAAGTAATACATACCTGATTACCAAGACTAATCAGTACCTCATGCGTAACATACCGAGCGCAGCCTCCTTGCACGATCAACTTGCCCTGCTCATGTTCTACGTGACGGTCATTCTTTGCAGCCAAAGGGGCGTTCGACCGGACAGAGGCATCTTGAGACGCAGCAGCGGAACTAGCAGCAGAATCAGGATCCCCACGTTCCTGCGTCATTCCTCGGAGCTCCTGCTCTAGACCCTTCAAGCGCGAGATAAGCTCGGCCTTGAGGGGCCGTTTTTTACGCCGAGGGGCACGACCGGGGCCTGGAAATACACAATCCGAGTTGGACTTCAGGCAGCTGTCACACGGCTGGATCTTGCTACATCGGATTTTTTTCTGGTTGCAACGATGGCAGCTACGTGGGGTTGACAGAAGGCCTACACCGGGCTGCACGGCGTTAGCCATGACTATTGATGCAGTAAATTGGCCAAAGGGAGAGGCGAACGTTGCCAGGATGGAGATCCTCAGTCCACTAAAACGGGCCCTAGTTGATAATCCGGGGTTGAAATAAAGCCCGAGATCAACGGCTTTTAGTCAGACATTCCTGGTGGCTAGACCCCACCAACTGCTTGCAATCATATACCGAAGTAAATTTCAAGGCAAATTGGACTGACTGACTCTGAGCCCTAATTGTTCTTGCTTGCTCAGCGCGGGCTTAGGACAGCCCGAGGGCTGAGTAAAGACTACCTTACTCTTGCCCTAACCCTGAACCCTCGAAATCCTTTATATTTGTTTTCCAGCGATACCTACAATGAAGGCAGATACTATCCTTTTCCCTTTTTATCCCGCTTTTCGCACAATGACAGCCGTCTTAATCACCGGTGCAACCGGTAAACAAGGCGGTTCTCTCATCAAAAGCCTCATCTCCCGCAACGCCCCCTTTGAAATCCTCGCCGTCACGCGAAATCCCACCTCCACCTCCGCCCAGAACCTTCGTAGCCTCTCTCCCAGCATCAAGCTCGTCGAAGCGACCTAGATAACCCATCCACGATCTTCCAAAATGCCCAACGCCTAACTTCCTCCCCCATCTGGGGCGTCTACAGTGTCCAAGTGAGTAGTTGCTCCCTCCAACACACCCACTCACCTCACTAACCGTCCCAAAGGCCGCAATCGGAAACAACGCCGAGGAAACCCAAGGCAAATCTCTCATCGACGAAGCCCTCAAACAAAACGTCAAGTTCTTCGTCTACAGCTCCGTCGACCGCGGCGGCGAAGACGGCTCCTACACCAATCCCACCAAAATCCCCCACTTCATCAAAAAGCACAATATCGAGCACCACCTCGTCGACCGCAGCAAGAACACCTCCATGGAGTGGACGATCCTACGACCAACTGCCTTCTACGAGAACCTGACGCCCGATTTCTTCGGAAAGGTCTTCGCGACCTGCTTCAAGATGGCGGTGAAGGGGAAGAAGCTTCAGATGGTGGCGACCAGCGACATCGGGCATTTCGGCGCCGATGCCTTCCTGAACCCAGATCAGTATAAGGGGCGCGGTATCTCGTTGGCGGGAGACGAGCTGAGCTTCGAGGAGATGGAGCGGGTTTTCAGGAAGACCAGAGGGGAGTCACTGCCCATGGCGTTTCGGCCGGTGTGTTCGTTGTTCATGGCCATGATGAAGGATATGGGGTATATGTTTCGGTGGTTTTATGACGAGGGGTATGGGGCCGATGTGAGGGCTTTGAAGGAGGTTCACCCGGATATGAAGGATTTTGGAACTTGGTTGGAGACGGAGAGTGGGTTTGTGAAGCGGTGATTCTGGCATTCTGGTTTCTTTGTTTCTTTGAGGCGTTTTGCTGGAATAATGTGTAGATTTTTATCTCTGTACGAATATTGCCCTGTTTGAATATGCTTGTGGGAGATTGACAATGATACAATGGGACTTCTACCAAGAAGTCTATGTCTACAAGGATGCAAACTTCGCATATATTACAAGGCTTATAGAATAAGGAAGAAGAGCACAGGAAAATTCCTGACTATTGACTGGGCAAATTATACCAGATATATGTATTATTATCGTGTGATGATGTTAAATGTGCTGCTGGATAACGCGAAGAAGCTTTGGTAGATTATAGAAAATATCTCCCAAATTCTAGTTAAATCCGATCTCGAAGTATAAAAATAGAGATGACTATCTCGTTCATTGTTAGATCCTTGAGCAGTAACTCGAGCCCTTTAAGACTAGTCGCTACGTCCTTTACTATATTTTCAAGTGTCTCTTTCTATCTGGCTACATTGGCAGTAATGAGCCGACTGTACATTAAGCAAATCCTGTCTTGATTGTCGATAATTGGCAACGATCCGTCTATCTCTCTGGCGGATACCGCGATTCAATCTGTTTTATAAACTGCTCTCTAGGTTTCGATATAAGACATAATTCTGTTCCGCAGATCCTAAAGCAATTCGATCAGGTATCTAAGTAGCTGTAGTAACTCTTCCGTTCCCAATAATAGATAGTCTTGTGTGTCGGATATTCTCTTCGATAATCGTGTTGGCTATTGACTTGGTCAAACGACCGACTTTCTTGATTCCTACGTTCTTTTTTCTTTACATATATACCCACGATTGCCATGAACGTATATCTTTTGGTGATAGGGGACAGCTGTGAGAAGTACGTAGTGGAGTTGGTCGGTGATGGGAGTGTTTTTTGCAAACATGATCCCGGCCTCGCAAGGACTGCCCTGCCCGTCAATATGTTCTCACCTTTGCGACATGCTTTTGTTATCTGAATGGAGTTGAAGTACGTACCTACGTAAAATGATCTGCACGGCTGAATGAGGGGCAGATACTAGTAGTGGGTATCCAGATCCATGCGTGGGTGGTTTCGAGCCCGATAATTCGACCACCGTGTTGATTCACGAATACCCTCGACGTATCGGCAAATGCGGCGGTCCAAGCGAGGTGGGGTCAAAGATCGACGTGAGATCGATATATAAACCAGGCTTCCCCGTCCCTATACGTCTCGTTTGGTTTTCTCTTTCTTTTTCCTTTTTTTTCCCTTTCTAAGTACAACCACCGCTCCCTGACGCTGCCCTTCTCCCAGAATCAGATCCTCCTCAATATCTCATCATGTCTGTCACTGCTCTCAACAGGTATGTCTTACAGGACCGTCGCGAACAAGTTCCGGTCACCCCTTCGAATGTAACTAACCGTTGCCTGTGCTTCCCTTCAGTCTTACCGAGTTCCAAACTCTTATCAACTCGGACCAAGTCGTTATCATCGACTTTTGGGCTACCTGGTGTGGCCCTTGCCGGGCGATAAGCCCGGTTTTCGAACAGCTGGCCTCCATCCCAGAGTTCAGTTCGATCAAGTTTGTCAAGGTCGACACGGATGAACAGCAGGACATTGCGGAGGAAGTTGGAATCAGGTCCTTGCCAACTTTCATGGTGTTTCAGAATGGTATCAAGGTGGATGAGCTCGTGGGTGCCAGCCCCCCAGGCCTGGAACAGCTTGTTCGGAGACATGCATAAACCTCCTCGCTTGCTGAAACAGATATCCTGTCCAGCGGTTAGGCATGGAGAAGCATCGGGCAAAGCGGTATGAGATCGTCGGTTTTTAATCATATGCTTGGGCCTTCCTCATGAGTCGTGTCATTTAATATTGCTAGTATTACAAGTGCAAGGTGTATGGCTTTGGAGTATACTGTAGAGTACAGTTCGATCCCTATTCCCCTTGGCGTTAGGTAGCCTTATTTAGCGTAATCCCGTCCTCAGAATAGGATGGCTGAAGGTATATATACCGATACCGAGCCCCTGCCTTGAGAGCCGTTGATCGACAGACAATGGCCGATAGCGCAAGTGCTAGTGTTGGCGAGGGAAACTCAGCAGGAGTCTGCTCTCAAGGTGTCGTCCGACGTTTGAGAGCCGCGGTAAGGGCTCACATGGCCTTTTGCGATTTCCTTTGTCTTGGACTTGGTGAACATGGAGAAGGCGGGTCGCATGACCATAAAGCTCCCTGCTATGATGCCTATCCCGGTTTCCACGTCGGAAGTTACTGCGACTATAGTTGTTTCGTCTGGCTGAAGTGTTAGATTGGATATAGCAAAAGATACCAAGGGCGTGTGGCCTTACACAGAAAGCTGGCCTCTGTCATTAGATGAGTGAAGGGAATTCGAGCGATGACAGCTGCAAATGCCCTGCAAGAAATTAGTTCGTACCTGGAAGCGATAGAATTCGGGGCTATGGGAGACGAACAGGCAGCCAAGTCCAAGAAGGCCAGCAATTGCAAACTTGGTGCGGCGATTCAGCTCGAGATGGTTGATGAAGAGCGCAGGTAGAATGCCGATAGCAAGGTCAAACACGGCTTCTATCACGCTATAGAAGTAGATGACCCTGACCTCAATCTCATTGTGGCATATCCCTTGGCCTGACGTTTTGTCCCAATAGTAGGAAACGGGTGAACACCGAAACGTGGCGAAGAAGAATGCAAAAACACCCGCCACGGTAGACAAGGCGATGGTACCGTAGAGAAAGTACAAATGGACCCTGCTGGGGGCAAAACGAGCGAGTGTAATGCCAATGGATAACCGCATGACGGTAGTGGTAAACGTGTAGGATAGTTGACCCAGCCACCAGCACTATATACTTAGGCGATCAATGTCTTATCTATACGGTGAGAAACAAGGCACACTCACCAGCATCGCGCGTTGGAAATCCTTGGGTCGATCATGGAAGTCCGCCGTTTTTCGACCAATACCATATACTCCCCCGATGATCCCACTACAGCCGGAACGACGATAACCGCAAGGCTTCTACCGTGCAGCATGATGGGCGCAGCGTGAGGTGTATGAGTACTTACGTTGCTTGGAAGTAACCGCAGGTGCAGCTGGTTAATTATACGGCCATGTTACCTCAGCAAGTCCCTGGCACTGCCAAGTTTCTAATTGTTTTGAGGGTCGTCGGAGATATTCTCCGAGTCGACGACCATTCATCGGCCACAACAGTGATCGGACGTTGTGTAGTAAATCGCCACGGTGATAGGTCATAGTGGCTCATCAACTATTACTGGGCTATTGAAATAGAATCAGAATAACCGACCTCGTGTGATGTGGCATGGTGAGATCTGAAGAATATGCAATCTATATAGATAGTTGCCGGGATGCGTATATTGGAGTACACCACACCGCACTGCTGAAAGATCTAATAAAACCTTGACAAATACTTTCACCGTGGATGTTCACGCCATTCTTGGGGGAGCGTCCTTCTAGGGCTTTTTACAGTCTTAACAGGCTTGCTGATCTGTCGCCACCCCGCAATTGGGACAGATTTTCATGAACATGGCTTTCATTCAGCAGCAAGGGACTTGACAATATGCATATACTTACTTCTAGCCATCAACAAGTACTGCTTGGATGTACTGGTCGACGACCCATTACGTATCTCGGTTGCAAAGTAGTTAATTATAGTCTTTTACAACACTGCATAAAGATATTGTATTGGATGCATGATCAATAAGGGGGAGACAGCGGCTAGCTGCAACACCAGCACTAGTAGACTGACTCTATTGGGATATTGTCCCGCATGGGCCGAACAGGGCCAAGTTCTGCCAAGATATCTACCAAGGGGAACTGCGTTATAACCTTCGTGTGTGATTCTGGGAGAAGCTTCAGCTTCGAGATATCTTGGGAGCACCGCTCTCGGGTGCGATTTAGGGGAACAAAAGTCTGTCAGGAGTTAATCAAAGGTCTGTGCATATGAGCCCAGGCATTCCACGTTCCCTGAAGGCTATGGCTAGCAGTTTATGCGAATTCAAGTCGGCCGGCGATATAACAGTCGTGGATTCCAGATATGACAAATTTGCCCCAGAGGGTCGTAAGTAATGAACCTCTGCTGGGTTACAGCACTGTCGCACATTTCACCTTACTGTTCTTGGAATACATCTTAAAACTAACCCATTTTACGGGGGATTGAAGTTAAAACAACGTCCCTCAAGCTTACGCTTTCGATATAATATCAGCCGGTTTGGGATCACCATGGCATATGGTGATGGCCTAGATATATAGCTCCCAATTTTGACACAAGAAAGGTGATCTGTGAATTGCCTCATAATCCCCCATTAATTCTTAAGCATAGTCCTTGCTACAGTGTGTATCTGAACTGGGCCGATCCTTCGAGCAGCATCAGGCCCCGGCGAGCTTTCCGATTGGCAAAAACGAAGTATACGCTCAAAGCTAGGACCAGCACAATAATCAAGGCCGATGCACTGTTGCCATATGACTCAGGTTAGGGATGCAGTCTGAGAGGGACGCGACAGGGTACTCACACAAGGCTGGCATAGATCCCAGGATAATATTCAGGTGCATCTTGGGAGCGGAAGACCAAGGACCCAGCGATTCCGCCAATCCCACCCATTCCGATCATCATTGCACTCGCAAACGCTCGTTTCCACTGACCGCGGATATTGCCCGCCTGGTATGCTAGAGCAGTGGGTGCGCTGGCGTTTACTCCACCTGTCACCAGAAACACCCCAAAATATCGAACACCGTTGCCTTTGGCTAACCCCATCAGTGAAATCCCCACTAGTTGCATTAAAGCGTTAACGATAAGAATTGGCCCTCGTAGCCGGTACTTGTCGCCAAACCAGCCCTCAAAGATCATGAGAATACAAGCCCATACGTATGGCGGTGCACTCAGATACTGCGATTCCCCGACGCTAAACCCCATCCCATTGCGTAAGATCAATGGAAGAAAGTATCCGATGGCGTACGTCACAGTCATCAGGCAACTAATCTTGCTGTTAGGTTGTCTGTTGCTCTGTTTGGGGGAGATTCAATACCAGAATATAAGTCCATAGCCCCAGAGCCGAATGTCCGCCACATGTCGAAGAAAGTTCTTGATCGAGAAGTCTTCGGGCTCAGCATCCCCTCTGTCTCTATTCACGCGGCGGATGACGAAGGCACACTCTCTTTCATTGAGAAATCTCCATGATCGATGTGCTTTGTCGGGAAAGTCTACAAGCATCACAAATGCCAAAACGCCTATAGCCAACGTGATCTTTGCGAGTTGGAATATCCCTCGGTCAGCCTTCATATACTGTAATCAATATGGATCATGCCAACGGACCACGCCTTCAATAATAAAAATCCATCTCCACCCTGCAAGATTCTGGATGCCATCCATGTGGGTAAGTCCATATGCAAGAATGTTGGCAATTGCTTGCGAGAAGAGACCAATTGAGTAGAACATCGAAAATCTCTTGTGCATGTCATCTGAGTCCTGTTAGTGTCGTTATATCTAGGAAATCGTCGTCCCTGATGCCACTTTACATCTAGAATACCAGCATGACAGTAGATATACCACGCCTGGGAAATAGCCACTTTCAAAGGCCCCCAAGAATATCCGCGCGATGAGGGCATGCTGCCATGCTTTCGTGAATCCTATACCCTGCAGGTATTGTTAACTATTATCCACCCTAAAACGTCGATAACGTACAATGGTAATGCCTCCCCAACACATAACCATTGTGGTCAGGAAGTTTCGTGGGCCAAACTTCCGAATCGTAGCGGTCACGAATGGCTGGCAGAGTACGTATGGTATGAAAAAGATGAGCATTACCAAAGACTTGGCCAGACCGGTTAGACAGGGTAATCATGGTATGTCGGGGTCGGAAACGTACATAGCGATATCCTTCAGTCATTTCCAGATCCTCGTTCATCCTAAAACCGTCAGTGACTTCCATACGGAAATGAAATAGCGATGAGCAGAACAGAATGGACGGCTAGTGCGCAGCTACCCTACCCTGCTATCGAGGCAGTCGAAACGTTAGATCTGTCCATCAAGCTGATGCAGTACCCGAGTCCGGCGATCACAACAAGCCTTCGATCGACGCGATGGACAATCTTTCTTTGCTCCTCGTAGGTATATTCTTCATCGTCATCAATGTTTGTCAGCCCATGCTCAAGCTTGTTAGTGGGAAGGTCTTTCTCGTTGGAATACGGAGCCATGATAGTTAGAATAAGAAGGTCAATGGTAGCGAGAAATGTCCAGGAATCTATCTGCCTTTATAGATCCTATCCTTGGGTTCAACACGGACTCATCCCCGCAAATTGCCTCCTCGCCTATCTATATGGGCATAAAAGAATTTAAGTGGCCGCCAGTGTTTGTGATAAGAACTCTTGGAAGGATTAGGTTGGTCGGTTCGTGCGTGCTACTTCTAGAACCCGAGCCTACAAGGCGATGCTCCTCCCTACGCCTTGCATTTGACAGTGTTCCTGGGTGTTCATGACTCGACCTTCATATATTTTAGTAGAGATTGTGCTTACGACATGTCAAATGGTGTATCTGCAGTTGGAGATAAATGTAAGTGTGTTAATGGGGAATCTGGAAGCTCTATGTTACATGTATGTAGGGCTACCCGAATGTGTCGTGCCTCTTGTCCAAAATCCAGTATTGATTTCGGCGCTAGATCTAGTCGCCGTGCTAACAAACCTACAATACTACTGTTATAACATGAGTGCCAAATTGAAACGTTCCCAATGCCGAGAAATCGTCCGCTTAGTTGATTACCCAAGAGTGACTTAGCAGCCTTTCCCCATGTCGAAAGTAGGTAGGTGTACAAACGGCCGGCAGTTACGGTCTCTATGCTACGGCTTGTAAATTGTGCACTGAGTATTTTCACTCTTTTGGGATTACAAAGAGTCGTCCTATTAGAGGAAACTCCTGGTTTTACCCCAGACTGCTTTTTTCTGCAAAGTGCGGAATGTTTAATCAGGGTACAGCATGGAATTAATCTGCCAGATACTCTATGTGGGATCGTGGATCTAGATGTCGCCAATTTCGGAGCGAGGCTAGGGCATTTAGGTATGTCTGTCTGTGACCATTTTCTATTGGTATAGTTGATTTTAACAAGTATCTTCCTAGTCTTCCTCCCAGCCAACCGGTCATATATATAAGTGCCAACCCCTCTTGTTTGATATGTGGTTTGATACTCATATGTTGCTGTATATCGGCCATATGTTTCCATGACAAGCAGGGAAAGTTTTGGACGAAGGGTGGGAATATATTTATGGAGCACAGACGATTTGTATCTTCCGCACCGCGGAAAGATGCTCCGCCCCTTTTCTTTCTTTTTGGTTTTTTCTTTTTCTTTTTTTTTTTCTTGGTTCCCCTGCCCTAACACATTGGCTGCTGTTACTGCGTCGCCGTCTCTCTCCTCGTTTAAAATGTATTTGAACTGAGATTATATGTGGACCTACTGCCTGACTGTTATCTCCTTCGATGTGATAGGACACCGAATCCCTCTCCAAGCATGATACGGAAGCTGCCGAGCCTCGTCTACTACTAGTGACGAAGCTCGCATTTTCCACAGTTGCCATCCTCTACCACACGGGCGCTCTGCTAATCTCGGAGTTCGTCCCGCAAGAGTGCGGAATTTGCCGCTGTCTTGATTAGAATGTGGGGAATGGGGTACCAGTACTTCATCTAGAGACATACTGTGTGACTTTCTTTGTTCTTGCCATAGAAAGGGGCTTAATATAGGTACGTCCTAACCCCCCAAAATTTCCAGAGTGGATCCCTGTACTGCTTGGGGGTGAACCTCCGGCTTTGCTTTCAACATCACTGCACCTACAAAAGTCATATCAAGTTGTTCTATGGCGCTAGCAATAGAGGGGTCTAAAGGCTCACTGGGGTTTGAGATATTTTCCTGAGAAAATGTGGCCATAGATTTCCCGGTTCCAATAATGCCAGAGTGTTTTGTATGAATATAGTATGTTACCTATATTAATGGGGTATATACAAAAGTCCACATGGAGGGACAGCAGACTTATTATTGAAAGATTGAGGGTTGAGTTTATCTCGATACATTAATGGAGATTTAGATGCACCCCAGGTAATCAAGGTTCAGTGCGCCAGGTGTGCTGGAATATCTGTAGTATGATGCGCCACCTCGTTGGCGAGAGATCAATATCTATCTATCCGTGTCAAGATCCTCCCGGCTCTTTACTTTTCGTCAATGATATACTGTGTTATGGTACTGCGACAAAGTACTTTCACAATCAAATTTAACCAGAAATTCTTGACCCTCCATATAGGCTGGACATGCAATGTGCATAGAAGCCCATTCTGTGCTTTGTGACGCCGTAGATTAAGGGGGTGAGACTGGTGGCTGTTCGTATTGGCCTGGGGATAATGGTAGCCAGTTTACGGTATCATGCCTGGTAGCCCCTGCGGAAGACTACCAGCACCTTGAAGATTGGATAACCCAGACAATGGCCCGCCAGACATGATAGGAACAGACAACGGAAAAGTCCCAATGTTGAAATGATGTACCAGAGTGAGTGTGAATGCACGAGCAATCTGATATTCGCCCTGGACATTTGGGGGAAGGCCATCATAGCCCACGGGACACGCTATCGGTGCGCATTCATAATTCTTGTGCGGCTCGACCAGATGCACTGGTGAATCCAGGGTGCTCCATCCGGGAATCGCCTCTCGCAATAACGCATTGTATGTATTAGTGCTGACGGGGAGATCTTCCCGGCCGCTGATAAAGGTTCGCTGGGGAACCAGGCCATGTCGTTGAAGCCCAGCATCAGAAGTATCGAGTCGGCAGTGCCAACATAAGCAGAAGACAAGCGATCGCCAAGCAAAGGTAGGGATTGGTAACAAGCCTTGGGGCAAAAAGCCGCCTTAGAGGCAGGATCATTATGAATCGTACTCGCAAATTTGAGATGGCATTTTCTGGGGAAGTACGGGGGCTTTGATTATTTTTACTGGGCGCAAATTTTCAAGGCACGAAAAACAGTCCAAAGGGCTAGTAAGCGCTTGCAAGCGCTTGCGAGGGCAGTGAGAACGATGTCCATATCATGGCCTTCGATTGTGTAGGCACGGGTGCTTTCTTTTGACTATAAATGGTACATGTTTCTCTGGGTGCCCACTCGAGTCATAATTTAAGTCACATTTGCTTCTTAGCTTGTAGACTACGGATGATAAATCACAAATTGAACGCGCACGATGTAAATTAAATCACATGAGGGGAAGCCAACGCCCTAAGTTCCAACTCATTTAGTACCTGGATAATGTGAGAAGGGAAAATTCCAGGCGGCCCCTCGAACTCCCAACCGAAAACCACGTCAAATAGACTTGCTTCCTTTGCTCCCTTTCCCCTGTCTTAGTGCCATTTAGCGTTTTCTCCACTTGATACGGTATGACAGCCGGATTGGGCTACTGGACCCTTGGTTTGCGCGCTATTAAATCCGGGATGCGAACCACTAATGGCATCAAGATGAAAAGTGGGACGCAGTCCGATCACAATGATTCGCAGCACATCGAGTGTTGATCATGTCTTGACGTCAAAAAGACCAGTGTTCTGGGTCTACTAGCTAATGTCAAACCTTGCTTACTATGCGAATGCGAAGAGGAAATCTCTGCACTGACTTGCATCGACCGAGCACCTATCTGACCTGACAGATGAATTCGTCCCACAAGAACAATCCACGAGTTCGGCTTAAGCTTGCGGTGTGCCGGATCATCGTTTTGAAGAATGCAGCGTAGATCATGGTTTGATTTTGGCCTAGAACAATCGATCACTGCCGTATCGGCTATTTGACTTTTCAATCGCGGTGCTTCCTTTTCTCCAACCTCGCATTGGAACATTTCATTCTTTTCCTTCACTCATCTCATCCCTTACTCGCGGTTTCATGCATGGGATCTGACCCAGGAGTCGGCCATTCGTTACTTACCACGCGGGCTCCGGACGACGAGCTACATCCAAAGAATGGTAGCCTCAGCGCCGTGGAAAAATATATCATATCCGTGTTTGTCGCCATTGCATGGTACAATGCTGCTGAGCTGATCGTTTTCTGTCTATCGACGTTCAAGTCCTACCGAGGATGCTACTTCTGGAGCTTATTCATCGCGTCGCTCAGTCTCTTCCCAATATGCCTCGGTTACATCTTCTACATCTTTTATCTGGGGATACCGTATTATCTCTCGATCTCCTTGATCATTGTGAGCTGGTCTTGTATGGTGACCGGCCATTCTCTCATTCTATGGTCGCGATTACACCTCATCATACGCTCGCCCAGAGTGCTCAACCTGACGCTGGCAATGATCATTCTTGACGGAATCGTACTCCATACCTCCACTGCCGTCCTACTGTACGGGGGCCACTCGCATAATGCCGTCATGGCGAGCCGGTCTACGAGAGGGTATAATATTATGGAGCGGGTTCAGCTGGTAGTGTTCTGCGTCCAAGAATTGCTGATCTCCGGCATATACCTGTGGGAAACGGCAAAGATGCTGCGCCTGCATCCCAGTCCACTTCACTATAAAATTCTCAGCCAGTTCTTGGTTATCAATATTTTCATCATTATACTCGATGTGGCTGTTGTCGGGATTCAATTCGCAGGGTACTATGCCTTTCAAGTGACCTTCAAACCGGTGGCATACAGCCTCAAGTTTAAACTAGAGTACGCCATTCTGGGCCGCCTAATAGCTCTTGCCACGAGTCCCTCCAATTCTGAGCCATTCCCGTCCAGTTCGCTGGGGTCGACCGGTGCAGTTGAAAGCTGGCCTGTTCATGGGAGGCGACAACGGGTCGTCGTATCGGAACCTTCCGAGCGAGGGCGGGAAAAATGAAGGCTTTGACGTGAATCTTTTTTTATAGACAGTTATCAAATGGTTCAAAACAAGGGAAGCCCTAAAATCTCACATCATTCACCTGGATCATGTAACAGCCAACCAGTACGGACGTAGTGATGGTCTAAACAATAGCTGATGGCTCAAATCTGCACTGCAAGAGGCGTCTAGACTAATCAATACCGCCCTTGTCATGATAGGCGCAACAACATACAGAGACCACCCCAAGATACCCCGGGATCCTCACTCGACTAGGTTCTGCACGATCATGCGACCTGATCAGTCGAGGACCGTGCTCTGCAACGAACAGGTCAGACTGGGGACATCTGGGGCAGGAGCTGGATATCGCAAAGGGATTCCTTGATCCGGACCGGCTTCCCCTTGGGGGGTGATTTTCCGCACTGCTCCGCTGGAATTCCTATGGGATTAGGTAGCCTGCGCTGGAATAGCAGAATGAGAAAGCTTCGACATCGTTGCGGAGTCAGCAGAACAATAGTCCTCAGGGCACACGGTCTACAGTAGTCTCAATGTTGCAGAAATACTACGGTGGTGATATGAGAATACTGGTGGCAGTAGGGCATCTATGACGATTAAACTACCGACTTCTCAATGACCTTTACAATCTCTAGGATTGATATTTCGCTAACACGATTCTCTTCCATTGGACTATACTGGTTTTACTCGCCAAGGACTCACAAAGATAGAAAAGAGCAAAAGACGAACAGAGAAACAGTGGATACAGCAATGATCAAAAAACGCGACGAGACATCTGCATGGGCAAATCACCCGCATTCGAGTTGAATCGTTCCTGCGTCTCTAACTGGAAACCCTCCTCTAGCTTTCCATCAAAGAACTTCACAATAGTAGCAATTACAACCGTTTGTTCAAAATAGGCGATGTTCCGTCCAATGCACGCGCGAGGCCCAGTGCTAAACGGGAGATGGCCGTTCATCATCCTCTTCTTCTCCTCCGGATCCTCGGTGAGCCAGCGATCGGGGATGTACTCGGCTGCCTGTTTGAAGACGGTCTGGTCCCGCAGAAGGGAGTATGTGGGCACCGAAACAATGACATCTTCAGGGATAAACTGGCCGCAGATTTCTCTCCCACCCTTGGGGACAATCCGCGGCAGACCGAAGGAGCTTGCTGGGCGGACTCGGAGGGACTCTTCAATGCAGGCGCGAAGGTATGGCAGCGTTGACACTACGGCGTAGGTCGGTATATCGTTTCCGGGCACAGCGGCCATGATCTCGTCACGGAGCTTCTGCAGTACTGGCGGGTGGCTATACAGCAAGTAGGTTGTGTTGGTCATAGCTGCTGTCGTTGTTTCCGTCCCGGCATTCATCATGGATGAACACTCTGCCAAGATCGCTCCAAATGGCAGGTTGAGGTCCTGGCCCTTGCTGTCGCGGAGTAAGCGTTGGAATAAATTATCCTCGGCTTTTGGCGTTTCGAATCGCTTTTTCGTATTGTGGTACACGATGTTGTCCCAGTCCGCGCCCTTCTTCTTGTACAGGTGGTACTGTGCTATTTTCCCGAGAGTAGGCGCAATATGGGAGAATATCGCCAGCAGGTTATTGATCACAGTTGAATCCAGAAGGGAGTCGATAAAGGGGGCCTTGTATGTACGGCCATCCTTTGACTCTGCAACAAGGATATCATCCCCTCGCTCAAGACAGCCGAGCTTGTGTCCGTAGAGCAGTTGTCCAAAGATATCGATTAACATATAGTTCAAGAGACGTCGTATGTTGGCCATTTCACCTGCAGCCTCGTGGCGATCGAGAACATTCAGAAGGTTCGACAGGTTCTCTTGCAGTAAAGGCTCAAACGCCACGACAGTTTTGGCGGCAAAGGTATGTGCAAGCATTTTTCGCTTTGCCTGATGCTCGGACTTGTCGCGGGTATCTGCCAGGTTCCGGTGAGGGCCTGCAGCTGCATCATACCAGTCGGCCTTGAGCATGTTGGCTCCATGGCCGTAAATCTGCTGTGGTGCTCGCGGGTCGAGAATAGAGATGTGGTTGGGAGCAATTCGAACATGTGTCCCGAGTCTTTCATGAGCGTCATGCACCGCGGCGTAGTGCTTGAATCGAACGTTGTGCCAGGCACGACAGATAGGGCTGATGGCAGCAATAGATGGCGAGGGGAACTCCCGTAGGCCATGTGGGTCCCAAAGATAATAGACCAACGGGGTCAATATCAGGGCCACCGTTGATAGGCCTAGGATGGGCAGTGCAAGGGACAGCAGCATCTTGAGAAACGTAATGGTTGATAGGAGGCCAAAGATGATGCTGGCCTAAGTCCTTTATATCGTGCCACATCACTTTCATGTCTTTTTGGTATGGAAAGGACAACGACATCACACGCTCACTTTGGCTTCCTTGGACCCTACTCTGCTGTATTCCGCCAGCTGAGAAAGTCAAAGCCCATGACCTTCTCAGGCTGCGGCGTTGGTTTCCTTTTGGGTTGATCTTTCCGCCCGATTACTATATGTAGTAAACTACGCCGCACGCGGGCGGCGGAGGAAGACAAAACGGGTGTCGATTCTTCCGCCTTGCCCTAATGTTAACGAATGCATGCTTGAATTCGGTCTATGGCTCATCAACACTATAGACAACCACGGCAGGCTTGATCAGGTTTGCGCGTATATCAACATTGTTTAGCATGTCATTACTCTCCGCTCTCCGCACCGCATCCTCCATTGTCTTCTCAATCCCACTCTCCAAGTGCCGCCGCGCGATGCGCCTCCTCGCCACCTCCATATCAACATCCACGAACCACGTATCGTCCACATAGTCGCCGATCTCAGACCACGGCCGCATATTGTATGCTAGATAGTTCCCTTCCATAATGATCAACGAAACGTCCGGCGACACTTCGATCGCCCCCTCCACCGGGTCACCGACCGCGTGGTCGAACTGCGGCGCATAGATCACTTCCCTCTGGACCGCTTTACTCAGGTGCAGGGCTTTGACGAGCTGCAGCACACCCGATGCGTTGAAGGTCCAATGCGCGCCGCGCCGCGCGTATGCTTCGTCGGGATCTGCGAGCCCGTCTAGGTACTTCTTGGGGTAGTGGAAGCCGTCCATGGGGAGGGCAATGGCAAAGGGCTTTGCTGCGAGTGCGTTGAGCCGTGCGATGACGGTCGCTGCAATACTCGATTTGCCTGCGCCTGGCGGACCGCTCAGAGCGATGATTACCCGCTTAAGGGGACCGGGGTGGTCGCTGCTTTGCTGGGCTTGGGAGATGTGCAGGGCCCGGGCGACGAGGGTTTGGTAGACGGCTTCCATGGTGGCGGCGAGTTGTGGTTGGAAGGAAGCTAGCTTGCATCAGGAGGGTCGCGTCAACTCACACGTGAATACAACGATAGTTGGATGTCTCTATTTATTCGGACAGCCCCTCTTACCCCCCGTCGGGCGACTGTGCACCGATTGTGGATGACCTAGTATGGCGGGATGGATCCATGCCGGATGGATTGCCGAAAATGGACGTCGCTCCACTGTAGTTCGACTATACCTACACAACATTCGTTTAGCCACGAGGGAAGTTAGAAACAAAGGCAATTTATAGATGTTCTAGTGACTGGTATAACCAACAATTGAATAAGGCGGAATAGAAGCTTTAATCAATATGTCCTATACACATACACACTTTGTCCTCCGTGCCCTTCACTTTTCCCTACATCACATACCTGTTGAAAGTATACTTTTCAGTCATCACTCCAGCAATAAGACTAGCCTGCTGTGTAACTCACTACTCGCCCAGGCCTCTCAAATTAGCCCTTTGGGAACTATGCTTACTCCACCGCCTGTGAGTTCCTCGCCGCTGCAGCTTCTGCTGTAAGTTTGAGGGCCGCCGGTGCGTCATCTTTTGGCATATACAATTCTACAAGCTGGAAAGGTCAGTTGGTTAAAGAAAGCAAGTGTATAGTGAGTAGCACACTGCCTACCTGAAAATGAGGACAAAAGGAGAACTGCTGGTTGTTAAGCAACAAGGTAAGTTAAGTTAATTCTTTGGTTAAAGCCTGGTAGGTGCTGCAGTGCTATAGACATTTAGCCCCAAACGCCTGGACCAGCGCGGCGTGCTTCCAAGGCTGGATACTGTTGGAATCATCACCCCAGCCGTGTATATACTGTTCGATAGTGCACCCGTCGTTGCAGGTCACAAATCTAGATCTTATTAGCAAAGCAAAGTAAAGCGTCCGGAGGAGGCTTAGTGATTTGGACTGACACGATAGGGCTTAAGATTTGACGTATCATTGTGCTCGCTTCCTGTAACCGTCATCTGGGAGCTACCATCTCCCATAAAAAGTATTATCCGCCGATTCTCAGCTTCTCGGACGGCCAATGCAGCCCCAAGGTATGCGCCGACAGAATACCCAATGCTACCCCGGAGGACCTGACTGAAGGCTGTGATACCCCTTGGAAATCTCGCTTCTCATATTCCGACGTTTGCAGTACCTGTCTCAGTAATTTGACAATATCGCCCTCCTGTAGCCAATTACCAACCACAGGCCATAGCCAAGAGTGAGTGATGGGTCCATCTCTGGACTCGATGATGCCACTATGGATTGTATTGCAGAAAGACGAGGAACTGGGGCTGATGCTTAATTCACCAAGTTGCTGGATGACCTTTTCTAGAATGCCTCTCATCCTCACCTTCGGATATAGGGAATACCGGACCTGGACATGGTCGCTGTAGAAGTCAATCGTATTCAGTCAGCTGGTTCGGTATAGAATCCTGTCGTATTAAAGTCTGATTTCAATAGTCCAGTGCTCAGGATCAAGTCGGCCGACTCCACCCTCGCAGCGACGCCCTCATTGGAACCACTCCCCGCATATACACTCCCAAAGGTAGGCAGTGTTTCATCCGCTTCTCTCTTCCCCATCGGAGTGGCGAAGGTTGGGAAGCCAGATTGCTGAATCAACTCATGAACATACCCAAGCGCATTGTGGCGGATTGCACCAGCATCCACCAGTATAACAGGGGTATTGGCGGATATTTGGTTTGTATGATGAACATCCTTGCCATGTGGTAATTCAAACCCGAATCCGTGGTACTCAAACATCTGGGTCGATGGCCTGATACCAAATGAATCACCTGAGTTGGATCCATGGAACGCCATGCTAAATACCAGTATATACTAGCGAGAACCATGGGGTACTTGAGCTACAAAATTATCGTCTATATCTCGCCATTCGATCACAATACAAGTGTCCTTGTCAGGTGTGACTAAACCCGCTTTATGTCATAGATATTCGTACAAAGCGTGTGGTCAGGTTATCGATCGCTTCCGAACCTTCCATATCGTGTCTGTTACGCATACGAGCTTTGGATATATGTAATCACCCCGCCTCCTACCAAATACAAGGCATTCGACCTTTCGACTATCGGTCTGTGTGAGGTTGAATATCACAAGCTGTTGCCGATAATGCCGTCCGAACACAGCCAGCCACAAACACGTGTGGCCATTGTCGGTGTTGGTCAAGTCGGTTCTGCTGCTGCATACGCGCTCATCCTAGGTCGTGTTGCCGATGAGCTACTCCTTGTCGATATAAAGGCAGAGTTGAGAGACGCTCAAGTCCGTGACCTGGCGGACGTGGCCTATGGCAACAATAGCGGCATACGTGTACGAGCGGCCACCATCCAAGAAATCGGCCAATGCGATATCGTGGTGATTACTGCTGGATCGAGATATTCTAGAGGTAAATGGACAATAACGACAATCCTGATACATATCCACTTCTTCCGCGCAACAAAGTCTTACATATTTCCTAGGTGAAACGAACGTGCAGCATTTGTACCACAAAATCGCCATCGTCCAGGGCATAGTCAACGAGGCGAGGCCTTTTCGCTCGGATACAATCTTACTGATCGTGGCTAACCCTGTCGATCTGCTCACATCCCTGGCGAAGGAGCTTTCCGGGCTCCCAACGTCTCAGGTTTTGGGGTCAGGTACATTCCTTGATTCGGTCCGAATTCGCGGGCTATTGGCAGAAAGGGCGGGGGTAAGTAACATACCATTTCTTTTTTTGCCCTGATAGTTGGGTCCCAGTGCTCGCTAACGGATTCCTAGGTTGCAACTAGCTCTGTCGATGTCCAGGTCGTGGGTGTCCACGGAAACTCAGAAGTAGTTGCATGGTCCGGTGTGACCATTGGGGGCGTTCCCGCCGCACGATGGTTCCCTGATAAGACCTCCCACCTGGCTGAGGTTGCGAATCAATGCAAAGCTAAGTCTCAGACAATTATTCGAGCCAAAGGGGGAACGCCGTTCGGAATTGGTTCCGTAGTCTGTAGTATTTGCTCTTCAATTCTCTTCGATAGGCGGGATGTCTGCTGCATCAGCCACTACCTGTCCGATTACAAATGCTGCTTTAGCCTTCCTGTCGTGCTTGGTAGGGGAGGGGTCATGAAAGCGATTGATATGCAGTTGGATCAGAAAGAATGGGAGGACCTTAATGAGACAGCGCAGGAACTGAAACACACGGTGGAAAGGCTTAAATCTGATGAGTGACTGTGATTTGATCTCCACCATGCATAGTAGTTAACAAGATATGTCCTGTCTCGGGGTGGCCAAGAGATGTCTTTGGAAACGGGTCTATGGCATAGGAGGGCGAATGAACGAGTGATAGTACTTCTATTAGCTGGACTGCGTGGCATAGCCTCACTATCGTTTGTTATAATGAAAAGGCTGTATTTACTTGCTTACTTGACGAAGCGGATATTAGAACCGACGTGGTATGCTGATGCATCATTACCGGACTTGGAAGTAAAGACAGAGAAAAAGGAAGAGCAAGACCTAAAGCACTTTTTTAGACTAGGCCATGTTCGATACTTCATAGCGCAATTTCTGGACGTTGTACCACTCCTGATCATGTATTTTCACCCGCAACGACGTGTCTTTTCACCACGAAGAAGCTGTCCGGGCTGACAGAGATCGAGTCGATCTTGAACTGAACTAGGAACCGAGCAAACTCGGGGTGGTTACTGGGTGCTTGGCCGCAAATGCCGATCTTGCAACCTTTTTGCTTTGCCACCTGGATAACCTGCTGCAGCATCCACTTGATTGCCTTATCCTGCTCATCGAAAAGGTCTGCGAGTTCCCCAGAATCACGATCGACGCCGAGGGTGAGCTGCGTCAAATCGTTGGAGCCGATAGAAAAGCCATCAAAGTATTCCATAAAATCAGCTGCGAGAATAACATTGGATGGGATCTCACACATAACATAGACCTGCAGCCCATTCTCCCCCCGCCTGAGCCCGTTCTCTGCCATGGCGTCCAACACCTTCTTCGCTTCTCTTACTGTGCGGCAAAATGGAATCATGACAATTGCATTTGTGAAGCCCATTTTCTCTCGTAGACGTTTAATTGCATGACATTCTAACGCAAATCCCTCTTTGTAGTGGGCGGAGTAATATCGCGAGGCGCCCCGGAAGCCTAGCATAGGGTTTTCCTCGTCCGGCTCAAACTCACGGCCACCCACAAGACGGGCATATTCATTGGTCTTGAAATCGCTCATGCGGATAATAGCAGGCTTGGGATAGACGGCAGCACACAAGGATGCAAACCCGTGAGACAGTTTGTCGATAAAATATTCCGGCTTGTTGTCATACCCAGTCGTCAACCGGAGAATATCCTCCTTGGCCTTCGTGTCCCTCAATTGATCAAAATGGACAAGCGCCATGGGATGTACCTGAATGGCATTGGTGACAACAAACTCCATACGGGCGAGTCCAATGCCATCAGCTGGGAGTTTCCACCAGCGGAAAGCTGCGGCTGGGTTCGCGAGATTGAGCATGATCTTTGTCCGGGTTTCCGGGAACTCAGTCAAATCCACAGATTCCGTCGTGATTTCCGAGATCCCCTCGTACACAAAGCCGTTGTCGCCCTCTGCGCATGAGACGGTGACATCCTGGCCAGTGTGCAGGATGTATGTAGCATTGCCCGCACCAACTATTGCTGGGAGGCCCAGTTCGCGGCTGATGATAGCCGCATGCGAGGTTCGTCCGCCATGGTCAGTGACGATGGCTACGGCTCGTTTCATGATAGGCACCCAGTCTGGGTCGGTGGTTTCGGTCACTAGTATGGAGCCATCAATGAATTTGTCGATGTCCCGTGCGGTTTCAATGAGACAGACACGGCCTGACACTGCTGCGTCACCAACAGAGAGGCCTGTGGTCAACAGACGTCCTTTTTTGCCAACCTTATACGTTTTGAAAATGGCATCATGGCTGCGCGAATGCACGGTTTCTGGTCGGGCTTGAACAATAAACAGCTCACCCGTAATACCATCTTTAGCCCATTCCATATCCATTGCGCAGCCATAATGCGCTTCAATTGTGCAGGCCCAACGCCCGAGCTGAAGAATTTCTTCGTCATTCAGCACGAATGTTGCTTGCTCGGATTTCGAGGTGGGCACATTTCGGGTGGGTGTCTCTGTATCGCCAAGGACCATTTTCATTCCCTTTTCACCCCGTTTTTTCTCTATGATCGGGACCAGGCTCTGATCAGCTAGCAGTGGTTTGAAGACTTGATATTCGTCGGGATTTACGGTCCCTTGCACGACGTTCTCCCCAAGCCCCCATGCAGCATTGATGAGAACGACCTTGTCGAAACCAGTTTCGGTGTCGATAGAAAACATGACGCCGGAGCCACCGGCATCAGATCGAACCATTCGCTGCACCCCTATGGAGAGGGCAACACTCATGTGGTCAAATCCTTTGGCCTGGCGATAGCTGATAGCCCGGTCCGTGAACAGCGATGCATAGCAGCGTCGACAGGCATGCAAGAGAGCCTCTTCGCCAGAGATATTTAAGTAGGACTCCTGCTGACCGGCAAAGCTTGCGTCTGGTAAGTCCTCTGCAGTCGCACTGGATCGGACCGCGACACCAAGGTCGTCAACCCCAGCCTTGCCACAAAGTTGACGATAGGCAGCCCTAATCGCGGCTTCTGCATCCGTCGGCCAGTTCCCATGAAGGAACAGAGCACGTACCGCATGGCCGGTTTCAGCAAGAGTTGTCTTTCTCAGTTGCCAGTTCTCAATTAGTTTAGTGATTTTCTTCCGGATGTCATTGGTGTCTAGATAGTGCCAATAGGTGTTCGACGTCGTGGCAAAGCCAGGTGGCACTGCAATGCCCTTTCCTCCCAGAGCAGTGATCATCTCACCGAGGGAGGAATTCTTGCCGCCAACTAGGGGTCCATCTTCGCGCCTTAGTTGCTCGAAGTTTCGAACAAATTTCGCATGAACGCTCATGTCATTCATCTTTACGACAGTTGTAAAGAATCACTGTTACAGTTCCTGTCCTATAGTTGGATCACCGTAGAAGTAATGCGGCGGTGTTCTAATCCACAAACCACTCGGGCCTGTAGAACTGCGGATTGTACAATGGTATACATTCTCAAAGTTCGAGGCATGGGAATAAACATCAGGAGATATTCTGAAGTAAACTTTCTGTTTGGCAGTAAGGCCCTGGCACAAACGACTGTCTGTGACTGTCTGCGCACTGGGGGATGGTATCATACGAAGTCAAGATGTGGCTATAGTTGACCAGGCTACCATCCTGAAATCTTAAATTGAGGACCTTTTCGGCCGAGTGGTCATGCCACTTTACTCACAGGTTCAGTATTGCCTCATTTGTGTCCATGGCATTTATACCTAGAAAAATGATAGGTTGTTCTTAACCGAAAGGTGGCGAAGCATGAAGCTCCATGTTGCGGCGCTGTTATTTGAGGTACAATTCGCTCGTCTACCTACAAAGGTACCAGATAGTCAAAAGTCTCTATGCATTGTCCGATGTCGACCCAATAACATCGCCTGACTTAGCTCACCCCACACACGCCGAGGTATCGCCAAGGAGGGATCGATGCCAATCGTATTTGTGCTTCGGCTTCTGGAGGGCTCTAGCCCGTGAGTGACTTCTCTCTCACGTCATAGGATAGGAGCCAGCTATTGCTTGAGGCATACCTGGTTGGTCTCATTAGCTGGAATGTACAGTGATCTACTGGCTATTGTTTCCTGCAGGGCATTCGCGGTTGCTTGGTTCATGGGTGGTGGGAATATTCGTCCTTCCTAACGCTAGATAACAAACAGAGTTATGATTACCATGTTGACTCAGACTTTTCATCAATTGAAACAGGCAGTGCTGACAGCCACGGTTACTAGAGTTGAGTCTCCGATCCAGATAGCTAATGCCATTTCCCTATCGCATCATTAAAGCAGCATTTTGAAACCAACCAAAGAAACACACAATATGAAGCGACAATCATCAGTCATGGAACCTTTCAAGTATACGGCCCGGCCTCCTGACGTGCTAACCTATCTATATCTTCACCATTTGGCTCAAAGGCACCCAGACGGGACACCTTCGAGGCCAGAAACATCCAAGCAGATGCATTACCAACTGTAGTCAGGTTATCTGGCAGTCTTTGTGGGGCATCTGAAATGACCCGTGCGTAGAGTTCTTTGTCGGTGAACAGGTGGAATAAATGTTGCGAGACCGTGTCAATGTCCCCACCATCAACTAGTAAAATGTTTTGTATCTTGTCTAAGAACGAAAATAGCCTTGCTTCTCTGCTAGCGATTACAGGCTTCCTCTTCTGGAGAGCCCATAGAAGGACCTCTGGTATTCCATGGACCATGGAGAGTTGAACGAGAACACGAGCCTGCGTAAGGAGAGTATTCCACATCTGGTCCTGGGGGCCAACCTGCACAACACAAACTCGATGTGCAAGGTCCTCCATTTTAGTGTTGATATGTGACAGCAAGCGGTCATATATGAGTGAGTTTTCTGGACTGTTAGGTGGGCCATGGTGACAAATCAGCAACTTGGGCGGGGGTGCATCCTGGTACACTTCCATATATCTCTTGCAGAATGTGGCGTAGGCATCGAGCAAAGGAATAGTTCCGTCTCCTAGTCGTAACCGTGAGAGATGGAGGATATATTGCTCTACACCTGTCAGCTGAGACTTCGGGTAACGACGACACAACGTGGAGATGTGCCCCTACCGTCAGGATACGATATGGTAGGGGATCCCAATACCCTGCATAAAGAGTGGAACTCCCGTCCGTAGAAGGTGATGTCCTCGGCCGTAATATTTTTATTCAACCCGTCAAATCTATCTCACGGTTAACAGCTAGCAGGTTCAGCGAAAGACGACGCCTTACTGGTCCACTGTAACTGGTATATACCCGACATACCTATCCGGCATGATGGATGGTGTCAGTTCACGAGGCAGTTGGGAGACTAGAATATCGACGTGCTTTAGCCTTGTTTTCACGAATTCCCACACTCTAGTCTGCGGGCTTGTCGAATCCTCCAGCAATCGCTGTTGCTGGACGTGCAATCTGTTTTCAAAAATAACCGGTCTTTGTGGGTCACATTGCTTAGATAGGAGTGCCAACGTCAAGAGGGGTGCGCTATCAATTATAACCACGTCTGCGCCGCCTTCTGAGCGAGGCCGTAGGGGTCCGTTCTCTGCTAACCAGTACCGTCTAGCATTTTCGTAGGCGAACTCCAGGAGCCGTAGCTCGTCATCCGTTCCAAGGTGTTCTTCCGGTCCAGTCAAACCCTCCATGATGTACTCCATCTTCCTCACGATTTGAAGAATACTGGGCCGTGGCTTCGGGACATACCTGCAACATCAGATCGATCAATATCGGCGGACGAGTAGATTAATAATGTCAAGACACCCACCATTTGGTATCTACTCCAAGTTTCTGAGAGAATCGGACCAAAGCGTGTCTTGTATGCACATCAGGCTTTCCCTCACATGTCATACTGAAAAAGGCGATTTTAATCTTCCTCTCTATCAGATCGTTTGCAAATCCTTGGACAATGTTCCATATCTCGGGATGCACAGTCTCCTGGTAATCTCCTTTATCTCCAACATGTACACAAAAGCGCTTGTCAACCTCCACCGTCCCATCAGCACAGATATGGTTGTGCAGGACATGCCCGACACCAAATGACCTATTCAATGTTAGAACCAAGGTCTTTCCAGCAACAGCTTTCCATTGTAACATTTACCGTAAACATTTCCGCGCCATTGAATCCGCCTGTTCATCGAGCTCCTTTCTCTCCCAACCCAAAAACGTGGCGAGCTCGCCAGGCTCATCTTGCTGCCTAAAATGGTTCTTGCACTCCAGCACCAAAGGGACGGCATCGAGGTCTTTCCAGAGATACGAACATAGTGATGGCCATCTGTGGGCAAGAGTTTGCGGCAAGGCCACGGCTATTATCTTCTCCCCATTCTTGGTCGCATATCGTCGTAAATAGGATACGAACTCGGTCGTCACGAAGGGAGGTACATGAACGCCGTGGACTACCACAGTATACTCGAAGAAGTCCACCAGCTGTGTGGCATTGCGAATGGCAAGTATGACCTTGCGTCCGGGCCCTGTGTTACCAGCTCCGATATTCCTGCATAAACAACCTATTCAACTTTTCTTAGCATGTTGGTCAACAATGTTCGATGGATGTCGATCCAGGGCTTCCCTACATTGAAAGGAGGCCCGCACCAGGAACTATCTCGAGAAGAACGTCCCCCAATGGGGATGCGCAAGTCGACTTTCGGAGATGAAAACATTTGATAAGGTTATCAACACCAGTGTTATGGCTCGATGTGAACATATGGCAATATGTTGAATCACCACGCAGCCTATTTTGTTCGAGGTTTGGGGGTTTAGGAGTAACCTGTGTTCCCTATACGACGGGTACTTTGCATTACTCGGCTCCTGACCTAAACAGCCCTCTTCCGACTAAAGTATCTCGCCACAGTTACAGAAGAGATAGTATAACTAAGCTCAAAGGTAATGTGGCAAGTACAGATGAGGCTCATATAACCGACGAGACCGAGAGAAGTGGCGTGATGTGGAATATTGGCTCAATAATACGAAGCAAGGCCTTGGACACCAAAACGAACAACTTTTGGATTCGCTGCTGTATGGAGATATCTGGGACAGTGAGTTCATATTACTTACCCCTGTCACTCGGCCGGTGACAATTGCCCGCAGGCCGAGCCGACAATCATCGCCATCACGAAAGAGTGGATATAAGGGTCCACCCTATCCTTCCATATTAACGCAACGAAAGTCGCGGATTCCATGTTTCGCGCCTCTTGTGCAACTCAAATTTCCATCCGAAAGCCATTAGTATCAGTCGTATGATCGGATATATGGCCTACCACGTTATCTCAAGTATCAGGGGCAGAAACCTTAGGCTACGTCACCTTGAGGTATACGATATACGAGCCAGTCTCAAAGATTATAGTAAAATTATCTGCCGGCGTAGACCATGAACCCGCCCATGACAGTCTCGCCTATCAGATGTCGCAGACAACATTGCGGTCATGGTACTCATATCCGGCCGAGCCTACGAGGGCGCGAACGACTTAAGTTCTATTCAAAAGGCCGGTACTCTCCAAAAGCCAAATAACTTTTGCCGAGGTTCTCTGTGGTCTCCTTTGATGGTCTGGAGCATGACACCTGACATTTAAAGAAACATTCTAGGATCAAGACCGCACACAATTTGAGACCAGGCCTGGCCAGAGTAGCTACACAATCTCCAATCCCACCAAAGCAACATTTAGGAAGATATTACTGGACCAACTTTATTGATATGATGTATTGAGCTTGATTGCGGAAAGTAATTTCCCACCCCGATGAGATATAAGGCTGTGGAATTAAATATCAAGGCCCAGATGAATGATAAGCTCCCCACCTATCGTGACATCATAGGGTTTAGTATTCACGTACACCCTCTCTATAAAGATACCATTCCACACAAGCGAAGATTTACATAGTCATACGGTCGGTGTACAATTAGATCGCGGCCATGTATAAATGTCATCTCAATGGATACCAGGTCACGCACATTCAAGCGAGATGCACAGAACGTCCAGGCATGGCTAGTCGGCAACGGGCTGGCTTCCCTAGCCGCCGCTGTTTATCTGACGAGGGAATGCAACGTGCCTGGTCGAAATATCCATATTCTCGATCTTCATCCGGGCTTTGAAGGAGAAATGGCCACCCTGGGGAATGCAGAGAATGGGTACTTCTTGCCCTACCAGTGCCTCCCCCACCTCTATGGTACTTGTATCGACAGCCTTTTGTCCTTAGTGCCTAGTACCCTGGATTCCGACAAGTCTCTACTGGACGATATTCAAGAGTTTGGCAGACAGCACCAGTCACACCCAAAGGCGCCCACGACATCTGGCGCAATAAGATTGAAAGCACCAGATTCAAGTGGGGTGTACACGGAAGGGTTCCAGCTCGGACTAAAACATCGCCTGGAGCTAATCAAAGTCATCCTAGAGAGCGAGAAAACACTAGCGTCAAAAAAAATCAACGAAGCCTTCGATACGTCATTCTTTGACACAGGTTTCTGGTTGCACTGGTCTAAGATGTAAATCTTTCACACAACCCTTGCTTTGGAATAAGCTGATCAGTGGATAGATTTGCGTTCCAGCCATGGCATAGTGCGATTGAGTTTCGAAGACATCTTCGTAAATACTTGGAGGATATTTTGTCCCTTAAAGATGTCAGTGGAACCATCCACACGAGATATAACTTATTTGACTCCATTGTCATCCCAATTATTCGTTATCTAAGAGATGAACGTGTTGACTTTCGTTTCGATGTCGAGGTAACGGATATCAGATTCTATCCTGAGAGTGATCCAGCAACAGTCTTTGAGATACGATTGGTGAAAGATGGAGAGGAATGTCGAATTTCGCTTGACCTAGAGGATATTTGCTTGGTTGACCTAGGCTTCTCACGCTCCGGTGCGATTTATGGTACGAATGTGGCTGCCCCGCCATTTTTGTCCTCGAACTGGGAAGATCTCTTGTTACGTGAGTGGAGATTATGGCAAGGGCTTTCTCGCAAGTCTTCAAAATTTGGAAATCCGGTCAACTTTCTTTCACGAGCCCTAGAATCTGGGATTGAGACCTTCACCACTACTCTGCAGGGAACAGAATTCATGAGGCTATACGACAAGCTCACCCTCGAGCCGGCAGGCAGCACTGACACGCTATCCCTGGCAGAGAGTAATTGGCTGATCACTATCAACGTCCCACATCAACCGGTGTTTCCGTCCCAGCCTGCTGACAGGCATATCGTTTGTGGGTACGGGCTGAGCCCTGCTAGCGAAGGCAATTTCGTGAAGAAGCCCATGTTCGCGTGCTCTGGTGTGGAGATTTTCACCGAGGTTCTTTCTCACCTCAGCTTCCCATTACAGCCCATACTCGCGAAATCAACCACCATCCCTTGTGGGATGCCGCTGGGAACCGCACCCTTTCTGACACGCAGTAACCAAGATCGTCCACATGTGGTACCTCATGGAACCACCAACTTTGCGTGTCTTGGTCAATTTGCCGAGCTCCCTGACGAAACTACGTTGAGTACCGAGTACAGTGTGAGGACTGCTCAGCAGGCTGTCTATACGCTATTCAGCCTTCCAAAATCACCACCAAGGGTAAAGAAAAATATTCTCTTGGAGGTCTTTGATATTCTTGTATAACCGGCGTGGGTCACAGTGCACCGAGTCCCACTTAAATTTTACATTTCTGCCAAGTTCTGTGTGGTGCCATGACCAGCATGTTTATTTGGGATTCATAAAATACGGGCATCTGTGCCTGAGGTTTGCGAGGGTGGTTGCGGTGACGAAGCAGCTACAACGAGTTTTACTGCCTTTCCAGAGTCTTCGTGCCTGATAAGCGAGGAATTAGTTCTCTTGGTGGAATTTGAAAATCACCAAGCGACATATGCAAGCTTGCTGTCATTCAGAGACCTGTTGGACCTCATCAGTCTCTTCTACTAGGCAAGAGTCATTGGGCGTATACGCATGCCATCATCTTGTTCGGCAGGTGGGTTCTGTCCCGCAAAAGTTATACACTACTCTGCGTCTACCATGTAGTATCGATTGACTATTGAACCTGTTGGGGCACATTCTCAGCCACGAACTTAGTATATATGCCGAATGCTGCATGTCAAAAGACGGACCCTGCAATCATGGCTGTGTAAATAACTCGTAAAAGCAGTTAACTTGTACTTCACATTCCATCGTTGTACATCCAGAGCCAAAAGGAGATATCTGGCCATATCCTCAGTCATCGATCGCGAAATGGGGTCTTTTTTCTTTTTTTTTTTTTATAAGAACTCCGTATCCCTTCCACTGAGTATATTTCCGTCGGCTTTCAACAATCTGTGATCCTTCCCTGTTATTGGGTTGAGACAAGTAAGAAACGAATAGATAACGAGACAAGCCAAGTCCACGCCACGTAGAATAAAACTCTCAGAAAGAAGAAACATGAACAGACTAGCATGATCACTAAGATTAAGCAGATATACTCTCACATAATTTGCATTGATGTTTCCGCCAAAGCGACATTTTCCAGCCTCTTTGTCTCAATCACACTGATTGAATAATTCTCACCATACTCACCCACGGCATGCACGACTACATTCTCGCCATATCCACAGTCCGTTTCGACAGGCGACGCCTCGTCGTATGCTTCATAGCTTTCCTTAGTCAGGGCATCATCCTCGGACAGTAATACCTTCTCTGCATATATTCTCGCCTCCTGATAACTGATAAACGCACCCAACACATTGAGATCTCGCACTGTACTGACTTCCTTCTCTCCATTATATGCAAAGGTGGTCTGGATAACGTAATAGAGAGTCACAGGGATTCGACCATCCTCATAATCCGTCATTAATCCAAGACTATTTGGAGTCGTATCAATGCGGACGCGGAAGGTGGTACCATCGGAGGCAACTGCAAATACAATGAGACCCTGTCTTTCTGGGAGATTCTGCTCTTCGAAGATATCTTTGTTGATTTCATATTGTGTGAAGAACTCCCTTTCGTACCCGGCGTCATAGAGACAACTGTGGGCAGCTGCTTTGGCTGCCCGCAGTGATACGTAGGTACCGGGGATGCGGACCTTTTCGATAATGTTGTTTGGGTCTTTACTGATATGAGTGGCCGATAAGACCAGATGGTAGAGATCGCTGGAAACGGTGTCGTGGGCAGAGGTCATCTTGTTGACTGTATATTGATAGTGGGTCGAGAAGTATTGTGCTGAAGCCAGCCGATTGCAACGGTTAAATACTAACAACTGGTTCCAGATATGTCTGATATATCATCTGCTCTATGCGGTTCTTCCAATGAGTGTTGCATAATGGCCAAAACAATTCGAGGCGTTGATTTACACCTACAAGTAATTAGGTCTAGGCCCTCTATCTGTCATATGACGTTCGAACTTTTGGTCCTCCCAAAGCCAAACCCCTCTTGAGAAATGCCAGGGATATCTCCTGATATTGTTGTGACCCAATGGAGCGAGTAATTGCTTATCCTACTTTACTATGTTCTATAACAAGGTATTGAAATTATTGAGTTGATTTCAGTAAACGGCTGCCATTCATGTACATTATTTAGTGCTTCGTAGTGTATTCATGGAAAAGACAGGTTTCGCAGTTGAGCATTTCTCTTTTAAAAAGCCATTCTACTCCAGATTGGATAAACTGACATTCTTCCACCAGTAGTATATTCTTTGATTGATTAATGGTATTAGCAGATCTCCTACTCGTTTTAGGGTAACTAGAGCACTCAACATACAGGCGACAATCATGAGTCCTGCCTACTCCACACATGCCATTATACCAGTGATGTATAAAACCCTCATCTTCATTCTGGAATCTGCTAGATGGAATAAAATCCTATCATGAGCAAAACCTGTTCCAGGTTCAAAGACATAAAACGACCTAGCTTACCTGGTCACTCTTTTGCATGCATTTTACTAGTCCTTTCTGCAAAGCCATGCACCCCACTACTTCAACTAGTAATCTGGGCCCTCGTCTGCTTGTTTTTGTTTGACTAGGTCCTACACTGCACCTTCGAGCTGCTACAGCCGCCCCTTCTTTGGCGGTATTCCCGGGCTGCTTGTCTATTACGCTCAATGTAGCTATTGCTCTGTGGCGTGACCTTGTAAGACATGCATCTATAGATCGCATTAACACTGATATTGTCTCCCTCTTCTTTACAATGTCGATCAATGTGGTATCACAACACTTTGAGGAAATGATCTCCGTGAAGGTTTTGTTTACTTATGGCTTTGTATCTGGTAAATCTTCTTTACAAGGGCTGTAGTGCAGCTATAATCACTGTTTCAATGTCTACCGGTGAAGAGTCTCAACCAATGTTAATTATCTTAATTATTCTTTTACTAATCCTCTTCTGGCACGTTTATCACTGAAGAAACATTATCATATATCGAACAGTGATTGTGCTTGACAGAAGTGGGTTTACAGGGTACATAGGGTAGTTCATTCCAGCATGTAATGCCATAGGGTCGATTAGATGTAACTGAGGTTCATCAGATTCATTCAGTCCCAGACTTGCGAGTACGAGCTTGTCACAGAACATTTAGACTTGACGGCTGGTACAGCAATAGATGAAAACTAAATTAAGGAGAAAACAACAAAACGTGGGACGAATTAAGATATAGAGGGTTGTATTGATATAGATCCAATATATACTGGTGGTTTCGAAGACGTTGTGCCTTCTACAGTGAACTCACCCTGGGAGTGTAAAAAACGGTGGTACAAATAGCAAACACACACCCATAACACTCTTTGGGTATACCATTTCCTGCATTGAAAAAGATCTACGTATTTTCTCTTTCTCCCTTTCGTGGAGGCACCGCCGTTCCCAATCACGCATAGAGGTAAGTGCAGAGTATTGTGTTAGTTCAGCTAAGGTATGAGCGTGGCACTGGATTTCCCAGCTTGGTTTGGCCATGAGAAGTGTAGTTACGGAGAAAACGATTCTTGTCTGTGTAGAACTGTTTATTCTATGCACATCAACAGATCTGAGGGATATCATCCTGAATCAAAAGATCAAAGCCAAAAGGTACTTGTAGTAGACAGTGAGGTGCACAGGTTGTGAAAGTTCCCTCACTACTGCACTTGTCAACTTGATAACCAATATAAAGATCTCGGCTCTCTGGCTTTTGTAGAGCCGGAGTTGCTATCGACTCTGATAGTATACAATGAACTACCTATATATGTTACAAAAAAGGGCGTCGTCTCTCTATTGATCGCCTCCCGCTTCCACAGTGCTAGACTACAATACAGGTCGCGGGCCACGTCTAGCCTCCAGTCATTGATTCGAAGTACTATTCAATATCATGGAAGAGGCTATTTTAATACTTTAATATAATGATTCTCATACATGCCAACTGGTGTGATCTGTAGTGGATTCAAAGTAAATGTAGAGTAAAGCACAATATAGTTTGAAACGAGTGTATCTAGTTAAACTTTTGTCTATAGACCCAATCTTCCTCCACAGCGTTCCTAGAATCAAAGATCAACGGACACGAATTTAGCCGGCGGCATTGGTGAGGTTGATCTGAATGCAACCTCCCGAGAATCAAAGATCAACGGACAGCGAACTTAGATAGCGGCCTTGGTGAGGCTGATCTGAATGCAGTCGTTGGGAAGGGTGGCACCGGAGCGGCTGGCATAAAGCATGTAGGTAGGGGGACCCGCGGCGAAGAAGGATACGTGAGGGCAGGCGTAGAACTGGCCCTGGGCCCACTCAAGGACATTGTTGCTGCCCGTAGTGAACCCCTGGGTCAGACCACCAGCAACGATACCGTCGGTGCTCTTGAGGTCGACGTGGCCATCGGTGCCAACGTAGACTAAGCTCAATCGTTAGCGCGATCTGGTATTACGAAGGCGATGCGTGTCAAAAGGAAGAAAGTCTTACCAACGTCGCCGTTCTGGATGCCCAGAGTGCCATCACCGCCAGTGAAGTTGATACCGTGTTCACCTTGGGGAGCCACGATGAAGGCGTCGCCTTGGCTGATGAGGGCGCGGTCCTTGAGCTCGCTGGTGCGGGATTGAGAACCGCTGATAACCAGCTGGAATGGAGCTGCGGCAGCGAGCACGCTGGAGGCGAGGGCAGAGAGAATGAATGCGGACTTCATTTTGACTGAAAGTTGTCGAGTTGGAAGAGTGATTGAATGATGCTGATGCTGTGTGATGATGATGCGAGTTGTGAGAGGAGAGACAGCGCCTCATCGTCTTTATATATGTGTGATCGGTGAGCAATCTCTCACCCTGACGGTCCTCATAACATTTGCTATTACAAATCCATCTCCAGCTGAAGAACCACTGACCAGGTATAGCAGTATCAAGGTGCCGGTTATCCGCTTCGCTCCCGGCACTTCTCGAACTAAGCATTATATCGATCTATCAAGGTTCTCGTCATGTCTCAGTGTTATGGGCAAGCAATAGTATCAAAGCTTCCTAGTACCCACTATTTATTAACTATCAAGGTTCTCGCCATATCTCAGTCTCTATCTAGATGAGTTCCCGGAGATTGAACAATCTTTTTTAGTCAACTACTCAGTTCAAACCCGTCATAGAGGTCTCTTCGGTTGCCATGTTCTGAAGGGTACACGCTCCAGCGAGGATAGAGAATTTCAATACCCTTGTAGAAAATGAAAGATGCCCTTTTACCATTCCAAGAGAGCCTGGGGGTCAAAGGCATTCCCCCCAGATTATTCAGGCAATAGCCAATTGAGTCCCAGAAAGATTAGTTTTAGTATGAACTTGTTATGTCAGCCTCGTTGCTACTAAGATATCAACTTATGTGAGATATATACACTATGATGACAGTATTCCTCATCGGATTCTATTCAGATAGCAATAACAGAAGATCAATATACACGAGCAACTACAAACGCTCAAGCATTGAGTGCAAAATAAGAACTGGGCAGCTGCTCCAAAGGCCACTGCCTCATATACTCCTCCCAACTGACAGGCTTGACCTGTGGATATTTGTCATTATCGAGCTGCGGCCCGACAAAGGTCTGCCCATTGATCCAGTAATAGTAAAAGAACCTGTCTCCCGTCAGTACCATGAGCATCACAGATTATCCAGAGTAGCGGGTAACATACAACGACATGTAGCCGTAGATATCAGCAGGGTTCTGGGCTTGCTTCTCGTGCATAAACTTGTAGAGGTCGTCGAGAGAACCCAGCCTCTCAAGGTTCGCCCTCACGCCGTAGACCTTCTCGTAGGACTGAGCGATTTCGCGGATAGTGGCGCGGCCGCCAAGGACTGCAGTATGGTTAGTTTGGTAAAAAATGGTAGAGTACCAACACTCAGACAGAAACATACAGCGGATGATACCAGTTGCCTCGGGATCCCTAGCCACGGCGGTGGTGAACTCAGCCGCATTGTCGTAGGTAGTTCCCTCCATGATTTCATCGCCCTCGCCCCAGAAGCGGAAAGTGTTGGTCTTGGGATCCAGAATATTGAAGAAGGGGCTGAGAACCGGCTCCATGAACCCTCCGATTAGTACATGGACGCCCTTGACCTTTTGCGTTGTAGCCAGGTAGGCGTGAACGTGGATCATGGGGTCCTTGGGGAACAGCTCTCCTAGTTTCAGCTTGGTGTAGTCGAGGGCCCAGTCACTTGCGATGTAGCGCGGAACGCCCTGCTCCTCACAGGCATCGATCAGAATCTTCTGTCCATCGATCATGAGCTGGTTGTCGCCGAGGTAGCAGCAGATCAGCACATCACAGCCCTGGGCGAAGGTACGGATGGCCCCCTTGTCGAAGGCATCGCCCTTGAACAGGGTCACTTTCTCCGAGGAGGAAATGGACTCGGGGACCTTGCTGGGGTCACGACAGTATCCGCGGATAGTGACATCGGAGTGCTTGAGCAGGTGGGAGACCACGCGGCGGGCGAACTTTCCGGTGATGCCAGCGATCCCGACGGTGAGGGCCATTTTGTCAATAGAATTGTAAGGGAAGGATGGGTGGAATATGAAGATAACACATCGTCAATGACAGGGGCATAGGGATGACTTTTAAATACTTTCGGCGGTTTGTATTATCTGGTCGACTGGAGGCAAATAGTGATCGATCATTATTCATTCGGGCTCTATTTTGATCCCGAGCTTCGTACGGCGTATTCGTCCCGACACCCCGAAGTATTAACGATCAATATACTCTGGGATATGACTGATTATTCAGTACACTATGCTTATTTCTATAAAAGAAAACAACCGACGTTATCTATTCGCCTTGTGCCAAATTTACTATAGGACGGGTGCGGTGTAAGCACTATCTATTAGGATTCAAATATATATATGACCACAGGGTTTCCTGGCCGCTCCGTGATTTCTACGCTGCAGATAAGCAAGTCACCATCTTATTTAAAAATATATTCCCCTGTCATGGGATACATAATGGACTCTTTTACTTACGTTCGATGTCCAGTTGGTTAACAGTGATTGGGCATAGGTTAGAACAAGTTGCTCTCTTTCGATATAAACATATTGATTCTCTGGCCTATAGATCAAGAAAGTGTAAACTATTATATAACCCAACTATAGCACAGAACCCATCCGAACCCGACGCATTACATTACCCTACACACTGGGACATAAATTAGATGATTACAGAACGTGGTTGATACATGAATTGTGGTCGTCGCAAGTCTCACGCAATCCTTTTACCAATCCAAAGTTGCGAAGTATATCTTGGGCAGATTGTCTTGTTCGGCCTCTGTTGGTTTGTCGATATACTCGGTATTTTCTTCGACTCCGAAGCTTAGAAGTACTTCCTGCTCCTGGCCGTTGACGTGCCGGTCGAGGTGGCAGTAGACGTTGCCTCCGTAGCGGTGCTGGAGGGGGACGCAGAGCTAGAAGTGCCACCGCCAGTGCTCGTGGAGTTCAGGGTTGCGACCAAGGGCCCGATGTTGACCTTCTGGCCGCAGGGGCCGGCGGGAGCAGTCACGCACCTGTTGATGTAGGTGCCCAGCTGGCCAGTCTGGTTACCGGCCTTGAGGATCTGGTCGGGGGTGTAGGCGGGCACCAAAGAAGTGCTGTTTGAGGGGAAGAAGGTGGAGTTCTGCTCAGAGCCGAGGTAGGCAGATTGGGCACTGTGCTGGGCAGCCAGACGAGCCAGGAGGAAGGCGACCTCAGGAGATTGGGTGTAGGCGGCCAGGCCGATGAAGCCGCCGGCGATGGTCTGCTCGACCTGCAGGGCGTTCTTGAGGAAGCTATTGGCATCACTGGCTTGCGGGATGGTGACGTTGCAACGAGGGGTGGTGAAGTTGGAGAGGTTGTTGCCAACCTGCTGGATGGCACGGATGCCCAGACGATTCTCTCGTGTGATGCCCCTGAAATTAGGTTCGTAGTTGGCGGTGGAAGCGTTGGTGGCATTATTCAGGAAAGTCTGGTTGAGAGATTGAGACGACCAGAACCGTTCGGACAGATGCTGGAGCGCCCAGGCGAACTGGAGAGTCTGGACATCACCGGACTTGGGCGAGCAGTCAGAGCTCTGGGCGGCGACAGCTCCGGCCAGAAGGAGGCTGCTCAAGGCAGAGAAGATACGCATGATTATGTGATTAGTATATTCAGTCGAGCGGTCTTGTTGATCCGGATATGTTGCACGGGGACGCAGTGGGTGTATGTATAATCCGTTCAGCTAATCAGGCCAGCACAAAGTTATCAAAATTCAAAAAGAGAGGAACGTCAACGGATACCCTCAGCTACTCTTATAGATTCATACAGCTGACGGAGATCTAGAATCACTGGGCCTATCAATGTAACCATATGATGAAATGGCCTATTTCGGGCTGCCCCAAGCTCCACATGCAAGAAGGCGCAGAACTTTATCGCCATCCTTTGCATCACGACATCCAGACAATTGCTGTTGGAAGTTTGTTCCACCGTTGATAACCAATGCCCAGGAGAAATTGACTTTGCTGAGGGAAGTCTTTTACTAGGCAAGACGGCACAGTTCATGGTTCGGCGGCCGGGACTGACGCGGCGTCGCCGGTCATACGGCAATGAAAAGTTATGTCAGGATGTTCTCAGTGGCACCGGTGATATCATTGAATCGTGGGGGATTCGCTAGGCTCCAGCGATGGAGACGGCGGAATCAGCATATCCGCATCTCTCCGGGTCTTTGGGGAAGCCGTTGGTGGTTGATCGGCTTGTTTTGCGTCGCGCGGATCCTATCGGAATTAAAGTATGTGGAAGCTAGGCGCGATCGGGTTTAGCCGCCTAGCCTGGTTTGTCGATCATGATTCACGACTTGATCTTTTTTTCTACTCCTTCTTTTTACCAGGACTACTAAAGTACTACCATTACTGGTATACCTACCTCTCCTCCCTGACAACCACATGACAGGGAGAGTCGTGGAAAAACAAGGAACCCATATATCTCGACAGAGTCCCTCCACGGGGACATGCCCGAAAACTCCATTCTCTTGAATATGGAAGGATGATCCCATGTGGTCGTCCATCACAGTGCATCCGAGAGTTCCGCCTCCCACTCCAGACTTTTCATGCTCGAACAAGATTCGACCCTGGTGTTACTAATCATCGGCATGACGATCCGTAAAACGACCTGCGGTGGGCGCCCGAAACGATTCTCCACCACAGACAGGGCAATCAATCGTGTCGTAGATGGTCCTACAAATTATACCCAACACACGGGACGTCAGGAAACTAGATCCTCTAGCATAGATCAAACTATCATATTCACTCAAGAGCACGTTCCTTTATACGCCCACTATAAATAACATTACAGAATAATACCCTGAGCCGACCAAACTTTTGATCTCCACCGAGATGAAGAGGGACAAAGGGTAGGAAAATAAACTATGCAGAACAGAAGCTAGTTCAGTTGGTTATATGAGAGTCTATGAGTCATCCACAAGCCGTTTATGCTCCCAGGCCTTCTTGGCACCATCCAGAAGGGCCTCGGCGTTCCCGCTGTTGTCACACATGCCCCGGAAAACACCATCTTCCCGGTTGATGAGCGTCCATGGGTGGTCGTACTCCACCACACGGCCGTGATCGAGCACTAGGACCTTATCGTAGTCAATGATGGTTTGCAAGCGGTGCGCAATCGTGATGATGGTGCTGTCCCGGAGCTCACGTAGTGTCTCTTGGATTCTGGCATCGGTGTTATAGTCAATGGAAGCCGTCGCTTCATCCATCATCAGAACCTTAGGCTCCTTAAGAAGCGCACGGGCGAGACACATGAGCTGCCTCTGCCCTTGGGACAGATTAGATCCAGACTCGGAAATCGGTGTCTCCAGGTTGAGGAAGATATTCTTATTGTCAAGAACAACAGTGTCATTCGCGGTCGCGATAGGTTCCGCAAAACTTGTCACAGGAGTTGCGGTTCCTGATGTTCCAGACCCAATCAAATGAACCCGGCGAAGCGCCGTGAAGATTTGGTCATCCGTGAAGAGATTGAATGGGTCGAGGTTGCTCCGGATGGTGCCTGTGAAAAGAGTTGGATCCTGTGGTACAATCGTGATGGACTCCCGCAGGTCGCGGAGCCCAATAGAGCCGATATCTACGTCATCAATGACTATACGTCCCTTCTCGGCTTCAAGCCCACGGAAGAGAGCAAGAGCCAGTGAGCTTTTACCCGCGCCCGTGCGGCCCACAATGCCGACCTTTTCACCCGGCTGCACCGTGAAGGAAACGTTGCGAAGAACAGGATCAAGGTCTGGTCGGTAGCGTGTAGTGTAGTTGGCGAATTCAACAGCTCCACCGCTAGGCCAGTGGGCTGGCGGCCTCGAGTCAGGAATAACGGCCGCCGCCTCTTGCTCTACCTCGAGGTACTCTTTCACTCGTTCAACCGAGTTCATGTTCTGTTGAACCTCGGAATAGAGACGGACCAACCAGAGAACATGCTCCGTGAATGTAACTGCGTATGTCAACGCAAGACCAGCAGCGCCGGCGTCAATCTTTCCAATACTGAGCAGGACGAAGACAGCAGTGAAGAAGGAAACCAAAGCACCAGTGAAGTCAACGCGGAGGGCAAGCCAGCGATTACTAGCCCAAAGGTAAATGTGCGGCCGGTTGTAGTCGTTGATGCGTCGATGATTATCCACAATGAACCTAGGCCCGTCGCCGTAGGCACGAATGGTGACAATTCCATTGAGAGTCTCGCCAAACTGCTGATAGAGAGGACTTCTCTGCACAGACTCTAGGCGCTTGAGATCACGGGAGGAATTCAAGTACACAGCTCCCAGTGCAAAGTAGACCAACGATATAAAGACAGCCGCAATCAAGAAACCCGGCATTATCACCGAAATCAGAGCCACAATCATTACCACGCTCGCAAGACAGTGAAGCATACCAATTGCCGCCGGAGCAACTTCCTGGTCGACAGCTTCAACATCCTTGGAAAACCTGTTCATCAATTGACCAAGAGGTGTCGAGTCGAAAAACTTGAACTTGGCATGCATCACGGCATTCAAGAGACGCTTGTGGATCTTATTGGATGCATGCAAGGAGCCCCAGAACAGAACACCCTCTCTAACCAAGGATATTATAATATAAAGGAACCCAAGGATCGCATATACACCGAGATAGTAGGCAACATTAACATTGCCGTAGGTCCCCGTGGTTACTTGCGTACCAAAGTGGGGGCACTCTGTGTGGAGGTTCGTGGCACACCCCCAGCATTGAATGACGGGATCTTGAAACTCGTTAGGGCAGCGTAGTCTCCAACATCATCTGTTCCGACATCCTCAGTTTGATAGGAGTTGGCCCACTGTCTGATCCAAACATTTGTAGATACAGATCCCAGTTGCTGTAAGCAGAAAATACACAAAGCGCCCGTCCAGTAGTACCACGAGCCCATGGATAGAAGGTACATTTTGATAGTTGGCCACTTGATACTACCAGTAGCCTTTCCTTCCACCAAATTAGGTCGTGCCTCCTCTTGTTTTTGACCCTTTCCGGCCGAGCCATTGGTGATTCCACCGTTGGTGGCATGCGAATCGTCCTCATGACGGTCTCCGAGATCGGTGGGCATTCGAGAGGGACGTTGGGAGCTAGACCTAGATGTGGGTCGCGACTTGAGAAGTTCGTCGCCCAGCACTCCGGACGCTGCTACCTTGTCCGGATGTCCCTGGGCGGTCACTTTACCGTTGTCGAGGACGATAACATGCTCCGCTTGTGGGACAGTCAGAGCAACATTGTGGGTAACCAGCACGCAGGTTCGGTCAAACATCAACGGTCCTAGAAGAGCCTCTCGGAAAATGTGCTTCGCGGTGTGGGAGTCTACCGCACTCAGGCAGTCGTCCAACAAGAGGTGGCGGGCCCTGCTGTAGATGGCACGAGCGAGGGATATCCTCTGCTTTTGGCCACCTGACAAACTGATACCCTTCTCTCCCACGATGGTTTGATCACCGGCATCGAGGATACTAAAGTCTCGTTCCAGAGCGCAGGCCTTGACCACAGCATTGTAGCGACGCTGATCCCAAGGTGAGGCGAAAACAATGTTTCCCTTGACGGTATCATTGACTAGCCACGCTTCCTGCGCACAGTACGCGACGCTCTCCATAAGACCCGTCTGTGGGTCAACCGGAAGTTCTGTCCGGCTAGAAGTTCCACCGGGTAAATGAACGCTACCTTCCAGGAGTTTCATTTCTCCCAGGAGTGCCATCAAGAGAGATGTCTTGCCAGAGCCTGTGGGTCCAGCAATGATATTCAACTTGCCAGTCCGGAAGGATACATCGATATTGATCAAGCGGAATGCGTCTGTAGTATCACTTTGCGGGTCATCTTTGTATTGGCCGTTGGAGCTTCCCCAAGTAAGCGTGGCATTCTCCAGCGCAATCCTCGATGGCTGTCCAGCAGAGTCGCTCTCTTCCAACTGATCGTATTTCTGAGTTTCTTCCTCGTTGAGGAATTTATCCACACGGTCCAGAGAGACTTTAGATTCTTGCACGTGAGCCACCATATCGGCCAGCTGATCCAACGGAATACGAAGCAACGAGAACATCGACAGGGCCGGGAAGGCAATTGACGGGGTCAACTTCTTCCCCTCGACAACGGTGTACAGGAAAAACGAAGCGAAAGTGATCATAAGCGGGGTTCCGTACCAGACAGTTGCTGCCGTGGACCAGATAATGTAGCGGTAGCGTAATGCCTTGAGTTCCGCCTGGCGCTTCTCATTGACAGTGTCTTCAAAGCGCTGCTCCCATGCGAAATACTTGATAATCCTGATGTTCTGCAGAATCTCATTGGTGGCGTGTATGCGAGCGTCGGTTGAAGCCAAAATCTGGTTTTGGATCTTTGTAAATTGCTTCGCGATAAACAGGTTCACCGGCAGCATAAAAACCATGATGACAATGCCAGCAAATGAGCTGAACCCAAGAAGCCGGTAGAGCAGCGTGACGGCAATCGTGATCTGCACCGGAACGCTAGCCCACAGAAAATGAAGGTAAGCACCGACCTCGCTAACCTTGAAGGAGTCGATGGCCATCAAGTTGATGATGTTGCCCGTATTGGCTGAGTGAGCATCGTCGCTTTCTCCAGATTCCTTCGCGTTCTGACCATCTGACTCGGGGTCGGTTGTGGTGGCCTTCTTTTTCTTTCGGCCGAAGGTGAAGGTTCTCTTCTTCTTACTACTGGGGGGCGCCTCTTCAGGCTTCTTCTTGCCAGCATCGACAGACGCCCCCGCCTTGCGCCTCAGAGCTTTGGCGTAGATCTCACCGATGATAATGGCGCGAAGTTTTACGCCTAATTTGCGACCTATCCAAAGACCTTGTCCGTCCGCAACACCCTGGATAGCTCCTGAGCAGAACAACAAAATGGCATACAACCAAGCCGCATTCGCAGTCGTTGACCTTGGATCTTCCACATATTCCAGGATGGCTTTGAGGAGAATAGTAGGTAGGTACGTGAAAAGGCATGAGAAAATCGTCCATGAGCCTTGCCACAAGAGCGTGGGCCAAAAATAACGACCAAGTCTCCACACTAACGAGCCCTTGTACTGCCTCCGGCGAAAGTCTTCCAGCACAGTTGCTGCCTTTTGGGATGAGGTCAAATTCCAAACGTCATCGAGTTCCAGCGCTTGTCTATAGCCTTTTAGGACAAGGGGATCTAACCAGGCAAAGGTTGCTAAGGAGATCAAGCTGGCAGTTGGATGTCTCGCTGGCTGGATGCCATCCTCGTGTGGGACTAATACGGCCTTGTTTCCTCTGCGTGTAGTCACTGCAATGAGAAGGAGAAGAGTAGATAGAGAAAACTCCACCGCGGTGAAGATTGTGGCACGCCTTGAGACGGGATGAATGACAGCGGACCGGAACACAAGAACATTGAACAACCACTGGAGCCCGTACAGACAAGCCGTGTGATTCCAAATCCTAGGAAGCAAATGCAAGTCCAGAGTAGAGAGAAGCAAGCGAACCAATGCCAAAAATAGGATATAGCTCCACGAAACCAGTTTCGCCACAGCAGAGAGTTTACCGCTGTTACCCCAGGTATCCGTCCACAGAATTGCGATAAAGACTGCCACTTCTCCCAGAAGCGCAGCTACTTCGAGCGTTATCAGAGCGACTTCACCTCGGGGGCGATCGACGTCAAACTGTAACAATTCCTCTTCCGCAGCCTTGGATAGCATCCGATCCGTTTCTTCTCCATGCTCCTCGGCCACTTGGGTATCAGTTTCCGCAGCATCATCCACGAGGATCTTGTACGAGACACCTTTTCGGGCCACAAAATAACGATAGGCGACACGAAGTAGGATAAATAAAAGCGAGAGCCCACATGCGGTAAGCGGCAGGATTACTTGTAGATAACTGCGATTGATGACGGTGAGTATATGAGGCTTCAGTCACAGGTAGAGGGAGGATTTGGAAGGGTGTCGATCATACTTGCGCTGAAAGCAACGGGAAACGTCATCGATGGCCCAAATGGGGCCATGGCATTCCGGGGTCATTTCTGACAAGCGGGTGAGAGAAAATAGCTGGAAGATTGAGAGATCCGGTAGATCATCCGCCTCGCGTTCAGGTCCTGGCGACAGAGACCCGCGTGGAGGAGGACGACGACAGGACGATAATTATAGAACAGCCAGTCGCGTTATTGGCAGTCTGCGGAGATGGTGTTGCAAGACGAGCCTCGCATGGCAATCGGAGAAAAGCGAGGGAAGGACAAAGGAAATTTGACAAGAGATGACGAATTGCGAGGGCACCAACAAGCCCTAGCAGTTCCGTCGGTATCAATGGAGTGGGGAGGTGAATCAAGGTGGTGAATCCAAGTCCATCTGGAGAAGAAAAGACGGAAGGGGAGGGAAAACGACGGATGACGGAAGGGCAGAGAGAAAGCCAAGAGAGCAGTTAGAAAGAAGTGGGACGGAGGGAGAGACACCAGGGTGGATTTCCTAGGCTAACTAGCACGCAGTCTCCACCGCCTGGTCCGAGGGATCCAGAACCCAGACCGACGGTTATTAATTGCCTACCTACTCTGTACAGATATTCGAGTCACGTCTTTCTTTGTCAAAAATCCACGACGACGGACGAGGAGGGGGGAGGGATATCTCAGCCTATTGGCGGCAGAGTCTGCGTGAGAAACGATCGACTCGAAATTTAGAGTATTTTATCTGATGGCTGCAGCTCCCATGACAGCCCTTATTGGCCTATGATATCACCGCTTCCACTCCTCGAGGTCAATTCCTGAAAGATATATAACTCAGGAAAATATCAAGCTCTCTCCAGCGTGATTTAGTCTGTTTATTTGTAATTGTTAATTTATTATAGTTTCTTTTTCGTATATGTTTTTCCTTTTTTTTTTTTTTTTTTTTTTTTTTGGTTCGACCTCCACATCCATACACCGAACCCTAGATAGATGTACTTCAAGACTATATACAGCACCTGCTAGGGTTGGAACTTGGAGCTAAAGACTCAACGTCTGGGCTTTTCCTGCATACTAGTCCATGGTGACTACCTATGTAGTATGTGAAACCTTCACTCGAGGATCTTGAATGACCTTTGTTCGTGTTCCCCAGAGTTGCCAAAGTTACTGTCGATTTTCCTGGATATGCAGTACCGCTCTACCAATCGAAAGAAATTCGTCACTTTGTTCTCCAGTGTCATCAGCAATGAACCAAGCGCCAGCCGGGATAGATTACGGGAGTGAGTCACTTGATGGCAATGTAACCTGCATGAAGGTTGAACGAGAGCTCTGACTCAAAAACTTCTTCCCCGACTCCCAAATTGGGTAACTCGTATCTCTATCTCCGAGATAAGCGGCAGAACTTCGCTCGGACTAGATCCCTTCGAGTTTGGACAGCTGCGAGTACGTCGGCTTCAAGCGAACCTGGCGGATTTAAAAACCCCACTTGAGAAGAATCCTCTCCACCTTGTGCTCCTCGGCTGATGTGACCCCCTACACCAATGAAATGAGGTACCTGTCCAAGTCCCCAGGCACACAGGCGACAGGCCTACTACTAGGAGTAGACTAGTCTAGATAGCGTAAGCAGTACTCGCATCCATGACAGATACGGGTTTTTGGAGAAACACCACCGATACTCTTTGTCGACAGAAGTGGGGAACAGCACAGTCAAACAGGGAAACAAAAAAGTGGTTCGAAACTCACCAGCGACAAGTAACAACACTGGGGTTACTAATGAAACCAGCCAAAGTTCACACACCCAAAGAAAATTTCCTCCATTATTTGACTTTTTCCTTTCATTTTTTCCCTCCCCTGAGCGGGTACAGGAACCCACAAGAAGTCCCAATTGTTCCATAGCGCCACCCCGGAACTTTCCGTGGGGATTGCCACGCCCAGACTAGTGCGCAAACGTTGAAAAAGGCGGAATCTTATCGCCTCACAGGACGATCGTCCCGCCCCGTTGACAGAACATCATCCTGCAGAGGGGATAGATACCCTACGCGTCTACGTTCATCTCGTGTTTCCAACTCTCAAAGAAGAGGTTGACCGCCGTTCCCTAGTCGCTGGCAGGCTATCCGTCTCGCTTCTCCTCCGTCGTAGTCGCCATGGCCGAACGTATCCTGATGAACGAGTACAAGACCCTCGCCAAGGAGCCATGGGTCAATATCGAGGTAAGCCATACCAAGGTCCTGTGCCGGGGCTTAGCTAACAGTCTGCTTTCCGCCAGCTCGAGAACGAGGACATCTTCAGGTGGACCATCGGGTTAATTGTCCTCAACCCCGACTCCTTGTACTACGGCGGGTATTTCAAAGCGTCCATGAAATTCCCCAAGAACTATCCTTTTTCGCCCCCAGGTATGTCAAACCACAGCTTGTAAAATCCTAACAGTGACTGACTCGGTATCTTCAACCCCAGAGTTCGCTTTTCGACGCCCTCTCTACCACCCCAACATCTATCCCGACGGGAAACTTTGCATCTCGATTCTCCACGCACCAGGCGAAGATGAAATGTCGGGCGAGCTGGCCTCGGAACGATGGTCCCCTGCTCAACGTGTCGAATCTGTCTTGATCTCCATCCTCTCGTTACTAGACGACGCGGAAGTGTCGTCCCCCGCCAACGTCGACGCCGGCGTGATGTTACGAAAGGAACCCGAAGAATACAAGTCGCGCGTCCGGAAGGACGTCGAGACTTCGAAGCAAGACATACCCGAAGACTTCGTCATGCCGACCCATCAACCGGCAACAGTTAAAGCCGTAGAGAAGGACGATTCGGATTTCTGGGCGGAGAGCGATGCAGACGATGACGTCTTCGGAGGAAGCGACTCGGACGAAGACATGGACTTTGACGATCAAGATACTGGCAGTGATGATGAAGAAGAGGAGGAGGAGGAGGAGGAGAAGAAGAAGGAGCGGGTTTGACCCTGGGGCTCCTGTGTGTATGAGAGACACTCACCTCTCTCACTCCCTTTTTTTTCCGTCGGTCTTTCTTTCTTTTGGGATTTTGGCGTAGGACTTCGCAGGCGTTAGTTCGTGGCATAGCGTGGGCGCAGGGACGGCCAAGCTCTAGCATTTCTGGACATATCTACCATAGCATCCCATTTAAACGATCTGTTCATCTGAAGAAGTTGTTATAGAATCCCCATGTAGTTTAGCCCCGTAGGCTAACTAGGTCGGGGCGAAACAAGGCTAAGAATAGTCCTGACGATAGTGAAGTTCAGTGAAGCCACCGCTGAAAGAGGAAATGAAGACCGAGCCAGTCCACGAAGAGAATGTAGCATGCCTGGAACACGCGTGGCCCTCCGGGTGGATCGATTGCGAAAACCAGCATACCAGGCCCAGATTCCCAGATTCATGTGACTGAACGTACCGTAGATTCATTTGGATGTTGACCTCTCGCAGCAACTTTAGTCCCCTCAGACGCAGGACATCATCCAAACCTCTCCCATGGAACGCTTCATTTCCGTTCCCAAAGACTGACAAGGCCACCCATCGGTCTGGTTGACCACATGGCCCCCGTGTGTATTGTACATACATACTTCTTGTAGGACAACCAAATTTCAGAGAAAGTGCGATATGAAAGCCTGTTCCATTGATTTATATATATATATATATATATATTGATCAACGTCGGGATACATCTGACTGGACTATTTATTACTTTGGTTTTTATTTTATTTCACCTTTTCTTTTCTTTTTCCTTTTTTTTTTACCAACTATCTATTAATACTCGTTTTGGATGAATAGTGTAAATATATATTTCTTGAGCATGATTCTAGTCCAAGATAATATCTTGTCTACGCAGATTACCGTTATGCCGTCAGCTTAGGTAGTGCATACAAAATGGAAAAAATGATCGATTTGCTCTGAATGGTGGCGAAACGCCCCAGGTCAATAATAAAATAGATCGTTGGTAGCCAAGGCGATGTTCCCTCACACGGACGGTTATTTTAGGCGCCACCGGATCATCCGCCTCCGAGGGCTGTCTTCTCATGAAGAATATGTAAGTTTATAATCGGAATATCGGACAGATGATGGGAGACAATGATATCCTGTTGAAGAGCATTCAGTCTCGTGCGGTGATTGGATTGAATTCTGTGAGTTGGACGATGGCTATATAAAATTACTGGGGTGACGAATATGAATTAGAACGAGACTAGCTTTCATGGCATTTGGGTAATTCTCAATACATCGGTCGACTTCCATGACGAGTGCAATTTGGCCGTCTGCAAGGAGACACTCCTACCTAATTGGTGACCACCATTAGACTTTCTGGCAGCCTTCAGGCCAAGCCACGCTTATCTGTGGAGAACAGTCGCATTATCAATTTGGCAGTCTGTTAAAAAGCAAGCACATGTATCTCTAGATAGTATGTCAAATATGGTTGTGGACATGTATACTATAATAATAATGAAAGACCAGGTAAACCGTGACAGGATAATGTACCCAATGCAGTCAATGCATCGGCTTCTCCGTTAAGACCAAAAACAGCAGCAAAAAAATACCAGCGCCAGTGTCCGGTTAGCCAATTCCCATACTCTGCCATAAACGAAACTAGTTACGTCTCTCTAAATGAGTCTTGTCTTGCATCTATCTATGCAACAACAGCATCCTGAATCTCACTGTAGATAGCTCCAAGCTCCTCAGCGAGCAACTTCTCAGCCTTGTTGACCAGCCCGTCGAAGCGGTCCTTAAGGTTGTTACTGCCGGCCTTGTAACCACCCTTGGTGACGATCTCAGTGTAGTTGTCGGCACCACCACCGTTCCAGGCGAGAAGCTAAAATAGATTAATTAGCAACTTTCTTCATTTTACCATAAGGGACAATGTGACTTACGTTGGGAGTGTCAGATGGGATATCAGTAAGAGCGCCCTGGGTGGCGATGGAGATGATATCCTTCTTGAGCTTGGCAGGAGTAAGCTCATCGACAGCGAATGCGGAGTCCTGAGCAGGCTGCAGAGAAACAAAGTAGGCCAGCAGACCAGCAATGTGAGGAGAGGCCATTGAGGTTCCGGAGATGGTGTTGACAGCGTGCTTGCTGCCAGTCCAGGTGGAAAGAATGTTGAGACCCGGAGCAAAGATGTCAGTGCACTTTCCGTAGTTGGAGAAGTAAGCACGCTCATCCTGAAGAGTGGAGGCACCGACAGTGATGGCATTCTCAGCGGCAGCAGGGGAGTAGTTGCAGGCATCAGCATTGTCGTTACCAGCAGCAACGGCGAAGTGAAGACCAGCCTCAACACCAGCATTGACAGCGTCCTCAAGAGTCTTAGATTTGCCACCACCAAGACTCATGTTGGCAACGCTACCCTTGAAGCCTTTAACCTTGCCGTCTTTGGCGTCCTTAGCCTTCTTGAGATGGGATTGGACGGCCCACTCGACACCCAAAACGACATCGGACATGGTGCCAGAACCGCTGGACCTCAAGACCTTAACGGCATAGATGTTGGCCTTCTTGGCAACACCGTACTTCTTACCAGCGATGGTTCCGGAGCAGTGAGTTCCGTGTCCATTGCCATCCTCATCCTCATCATTACTAGGGATGGTCTTGCCCCAGTGTGCGCGGTTCTCGAAGTCAACATGGTCAATGTTGATACCAGTGTCAATAGTATAAGCATCGACGCCCTCACCGCCTTCTGACGCATACAGGTATTTGTTGAAGGTGCCAAACGAGAGGCTGTCACGGTGAGAGATACGAGCCAAGCCCCAGGGAGCATTCTTCTCAGTTGTCTCCTCCATGGTGTGGACTTCGGTGTCCTTCTCGATGTATTCAACCTTGAACACCCAAGTCAGACCAATAGTTCAAGAAACGGGGTTAGGCAGAAGGGGGGAAAACCTACATCAGGATGTCTCCGGACTTGCTCGATCACATCCTCATGGAAATGTCCAGAATAGCCCACCAGGGACCCGGCGATATCGAAGGTGTTCTTGAGACCGAGGTAAAGGTCATCACTGAAACCAAAGAGAGAGCGCTTCTTCAGGTCGATGTGTCCAGTCATCGAGTCGTGGATGTCCTGCACCCAGGTGTGATGAGCAGCCGCCGTTGCAGCGGAGACATGCTTCTTGAAGACGACGATGTAAGAGTCTGGAACCTCTTTGGCATTTGAGGCAGAAAGGATGGGAGCCGCTCCGTTGTGAATGGAGTCAACAGCAACGGGGGAGGCCGCTGCCAGTAGTGGCAGCAGGGAAAGGCTGAGGATGCCTCTCATGGTGGTCAACGGGGGCGAGGTCTAACACAACGTACAGAAGGGAGAAGGGAGGGTTCTAAGAGGGAAGAATACAAATGGAGATGAATATAAAAGAAAGAAAAGATGGGAGGATGGATGGATGCTGAGTTGGGGAGGGTTTAAAAGGCAGAAGGAGGAGGAAGGATGGGGATGGATGAGGAGTTGGAGAAGAAGAGGATGGGAGCAGGTGTAAGATAGCTGGGCTTAATAGGTCGATCCCCCAAGCAGGCAAGGGCAGCGGAGTATGATGCAACCGGGATACGGTAATTTACAACGATGACACAACTTTACTGAGGAGGTGCCGCGCGTCGATCTCTCCCGATTAGCGCGGTCGCAAGACCTGGGGTATGGCGGTAAGAGGGTAAGGATCCCCAAAAAGGGACCTTTCGGAGTGATTAGTCGCCCCAGTAAATAACGCTCAGGTTCCATGGGTGGACGCCCTCGGGGTACGAAGGCACAATGGTGTCGAAAAATGAGGCGAATGAGTGGAGTCTGCACCCTGTATTCTGCAAGTATGTTTGGGAGCTCTTCCAAGGATAGCTCGAGTGGTGAGTCAACGATGAACAAGGTACCCATTCTGGAGTGACTGCTCTAGGTGATTCGTTCGGTTTAACCGCCATAGTCGTACTTTATACAGACATATGTACATGCAGATATGGGTGAGATATCCCTCTCAACAAAGCCGACAGTGACCCTTCACCGATAGGTAGTAATATCCTACGGTAGTTTTGACAACAAATCCTAAAATCCTGTTGTCATCAAGGTACTGCAGGTACAGTACCTGACCGACCCCTCAAAAGTAGTACTACTTCTTAGGTTCCTGAGACGAAAAGAGTTGGCATGTTAGGTCAATGGCGTTTGGCGACTGGTCGCCACCACCAACCATCTTCCCGGGCAACCCGAGTCGCGTGCCATGGGAGCACGCCTATCTTCCGTTGTTCGCCTGACTTTGATAAGGAGCCGATCGTACGGAAACCGCGGCGGACCATCAACGCATTACCGTTTCGGACAATACAGGCGGTCGGGCTTTGCGGTTGATAAGACACACCTCCCCTTATCGATACCTCTCCCTCCACCAATGGTGGACCGCCGACGGTCGGAGGCTTGTCACCTGATAATCACTAGGTCTGAGAGCTGGAAAATGCACCCATGCTCCGATGTGCCCCCGCTTAATGGCACTGCCTCCAGTGACGTTGGCATAAGACCGTCTATCACATTCAGGAACTATCCTGAGGGTGTAGAGGGAATTATTGCTCTCGACTCACAACCCCGATCTTGACCAGGATAATCCTCATTCCCGATGCTGAATTTGACACAATCGGCCTTGCCCCCATCCCTAGAGTAGTGCAATTGTTGAGCGCCTGACTCGTCAGCTCTCCCTTCCGTTCCCCTCCCTCCCACTCCGGCTGTGCCATGTTGGGAAACTGTGTGGATTGCATTCACCACTAGCTACCATAACGCATACCAATGCAGACCGCCTTCATCCTTACGCTAAGTGCTGGTTCCTGGTGTCTCATGGTCACAGGCCATCGGATAGGTAGTCGGGGATAAGCTTCAGCGGCGCAATGAGCCGGTCCACTTCCGCCCTCTCGCGGTCCCCGTCCTCGTCAACGCAACGGCCGTCTGCCCCCGAATTAAGTCCTGTCCTTGAGAAGTTGACGGTTATCTGCGGGGAGGATATAGTAACGTCTCAGATTGC